GATTGAGTTTCGCCTGGTTTACGCTTCGTCTGGTCTGATGCGCCTTTGGCGATGTGGTTCCGCCTGGTGCAAGAGAAGGATTGTGCGCACAATTGGTGCGGTTCGGATCGTCACTGGAGAAGTTCCTGGTCTCGTGACTGGATCCAAGATCGGAGTAGAGAGAAAAAGCTCCGATGGCTCGCGGTTTGTGGTTGCGCTGATTGCCCGTCGTTGTATTGCTGCCGAGTGCTGGCGACGGAATTGAAGTCCGATCTGACCGTGGAGTGGTTTGTGTTGTAAAATGCGTAGCCGGCTACGTGACAAGCGGCGAAAGGCTGCTGTGGTGCTCGGGAGCTCGCGTCCGACTGATCAACGGAGAGCGGAGCTGGCCAGGTAAGAGTACGGAGATATATGCACGCGATCAGACCATCGTCTTTTGTGACTTTTGTTTTTTTGGTTGTCAGTGGAGGTTACTGTAGTTGGTTTTATTTTTCAAGGTTTTGGAAGGGTTTGTCTGAAGTATTTGTTTTGCAAGCAGTAACGGGTTTACTGGTTTTCAAGGGGTGCAGAGGTAATGAATGGTACCGGTAGTTATTGAGTTCACGGAGGTTGAGAATCTTGGGTTTACTTTAGATTGACGAATACGTACTAGAAAGTTCAGGCACCAGCTGTTGACGTAACATTGTTTTGTTATCATTTTGTTATTATTTTTGGAGGTTTTGTTGATTTATCCACCTATTCTATCACGGGTTCCGGGTCACTGATGAGTACCATTCTACTATGATGTCTATGTGAAGTACACCTTTGGGCTGTTACTTTTTCGTGTTACCAGGGTGTCAGGCTCTGTTTTGAAGTACATGTAGGTTGAAGGTAGTTGTAGTCTTGTCGTATGAATCATTGCGGGGAGTGTGACTGCATTAATGTTGTTATTGTTGCCGTTGTTGTCTATCGGTACGAGAGTACACTACGCCGCCCAGTGGGCCTTCCGTATCCCTGTGTCGTTCATTTCCGCCGGTTTGCATACTGTGGTTGTAAATCACTCTGGTCAGCGTACCAGAAAGACAAAGTACGTAATCATTGTGGTTGCACATGTCTCGAATGACACTGCTCTTACGCCTACTTGTGTTGTCTATCTGGCACACGCCGCCGCTGCTGATATTGCAGCCTAGGGAAACCTATTTGTGTCTCACTGAAGTGCCTGATGGCTTGTTACAGTTTGATGCGCGCCGTCCTTTCTGCCAATTGTGCCCTTCTATGGTGTTTTTGGTATTCCGCTGCTAAGTTCTCTTAGCCATATGAATGTTACGCTGCATTATGCTGGGCTGTTGCCACCTGGCCTTGACTGACCAGGCTGCCCACCATAGTTCCATGACCCGTCAATCTTGTTGTTACACGAAGCTGGATTCTGTAGTGAATCTGATTATTACGTGCAACACAGCTTGGGTCCTCTTTCCGCTAACGCTTTTGGCGTTAAACCCCATTGCTGGAGAGTCAATTCTCCCACTGCCGCTCAGATCATTGATTGTGGTGTGCAGTCGTGAGCCATGCTAACAGACTATCACGTCGTGCTCGTTCAGCACAGTTCGTGTGTGTACACACTTGGTCTATGGCTTGCATTTCGCTGAGGTACAAACCGTTGCGTTTCCTACCCTCATGTGTATCAGGTAAACGTTACGCCAGAAACTTTGTGCATGCGCATTCTGTGTGCACAAAACGTTTGCCTGTATCTGTCTGCACTGCCCGTCCTCATGACGTTGGCGCTCGTCTGGTGCATCTCGCTTCTAGTAACCTTATCTGGTTGCTGGTCCCCGCCGATTGGTCGAAGTTTCCCCAAACTTTGTGTATACTATGGTGTGGACTATTCCCGGTACAAGACCGTCTCTTGGATGTTGTGTATTGCGTCCAAACTACGCCCGGTCTTAGTGATTATTCTCAGTGATTCTTGTGGATCAACTGTCTCGCTGCCATGTTCTTTATGAGCTAGGCCACCATCCTTCGAGATGGAAGAAAAAATTCGCTTCTTGAGTTGGTGGAAGATCTGCCTTCTCCCTACGCCAGTCCAGTCACCTGTGAGTGAGGCATTCCTACTGCTACCTGACTTCGAGTCATTGGCTCTGCTGTTCTACCACTACGTCTCATCGTTTCACCCTACCATGCTGATACCATCACTCACCTATAGTACGATGACATGAACACCAGGATTCCATTCCGTGGTCTGTTGAGCCTCACCAAGTACCTGTCTTACCCAGGCATTGCCACCAGTTGCTGGAGTATCAATGTTTCTGCTATGTCTTCGTTGTCCGTCCACCCTGTCACTATAGCCGATTCCGTTTGGTACTGCACTTGCACTAGTACTGCTATGATGTCGTCTGTTCCCTACTACCCTGAGTGCACTGTTCCAGTCTACCATCCTGTACTGCCATCATCTTCTATAGTGTCTACCGTCAAAGTACTGTCTTCCATGTGCCTAATAGTGTCTGCTCAACTTGATTCAAGTGCTGTCGTCCACCATCGTCATGAGTACCGCCCGCACTGATCTCTGTCTGCTACCCGCTGAGTGTCACCAAGTAAGACTATCTATGTACGAACAATTGTGCCCCATATCGTTAGTTCTCTAAGTTCAGCCTTTGCTCATAGCTACCTCTCGAGTGCCTACTGCCCAACTGTTACCCCTGGTCCTGTGCCTTAGGCAGTGAACAATTAGCTCCTAGCTCCATCGTGCTTTGATTAGGATTGTTTCCCAGCACACACCAAGATTTTGTGCCAATAGATTAGATCCGCTGTCCATTCGTTTTGTTCTGTTCGGCGTAGCTCATCAGTTATCGTATAGTTTTGTTCTGCTGCTAGTGACTGTTTTGCGTCACAATTTTTCCAAGGTTAGACCCTGCTAGAGATGCCACCTGCCAAAGAAACTAGACTTTACATTGTGTTCATTAGTTCTAGCCGTAGGTTCTTTCCGATTTCGTTTCCTGATTCGAAGTCTGAAGCTTTGTTCCCTCTTGCTCACACCCTCTTTGGAACTACGGCGATGTTTAGTTTCCTTTTATTTTAGCCCTTTTTCATTTGCTCTTTTGTGTTGTTTCTTCCCGTCACGAGGACGTGACCCTTTTCTTTGTAGCCGAGGGAGATGTCATGGCCCTGCGTAGACAGTACTACTCACCAATACTATAGTAGTGCTGCACACATTCATTATCAGCCTGTCACCTACCTCTACCGCGGCTCTTCATCAATGTTCTCTTCCTTTTGATTAGGATAGAGTTACCTCTTCTGTCGCCGGACCTAGACTATCCATTACCATAGAACTGTCAGCTATTGTCTCTGTTGCCGGTCCGCTGTTCTGCTGTTCCGCTTAGTTGCTTCGATTCATGATTAGCATTAGCTTCAATACTTAGATACATTACTCTTTGCTGAGTTTAGCACAGCTCACTACTCGTTCGCTGCTGCCTGCTCGATCCTTCCCTTCGTAGCCGCTCGCATAGATTTCAGCTAGTATAAGTTCGCTGACTTAGCCAGATATCGAGGAGTCTTGGATTAGTCTTGGATTAGTCTTGTATGAGTCTTGTATTAGTCTTATTCTCTTTTATAGCTTTCTTGACTTTCTTTATAGGAGTTCCGCTACCGCTCAAGCGGACTTGTCCGCTTGAGCCGGTGTGGCCTTTGACTTTGTAGTTTCTTACTGTTCCTTTGTTCCTTTACTATACAATCGGACCTGAGGGCTCCGCCACCCTGACTTCTCTCTGTGCTTTGGGTCTGAGGTACGCCTGAGTGGAACTACCAAGAGGCGCACATATACTTTGTGCAAACGGGCTTGGGATAACTAACACGTAGGGACGATCAGCCAGCCACGACACAATCATCAGGCAACATGAAGATCGGGTGCCGACCATGCCGGTATATATGCCAGGAGAGGGTGGTATAAAAAGCTGTGTGAGACTGTGGGGGCTAGCGCAGTAGCCAGCCAAGAAATTATAACATCCCTATGCTTTTTTTGTCTAGGTCATCAAGGCAAAAAAGCATAGCGTAGGGCCCTGAGCTTCCAAGCTCTCTCGTTGCTTTTTTGGATGAACTATAGGCAGACCACATACTGTAAGCAAGAGTACATAACCAAGAGTACATAACCTGGTTGTTATGTACTCTTGCTGTAAGTCAACAAATATTCGGCACATTTATTTTCGGCTATTTTCGGCCTGATCATATTTGGCCGAAAATTTGTTGCAGCCGAAATTTCGTTTTGCAAGGTTCACTGTGACAGTGAGGCAGCAGCAGTACAGGCGGAAAATTTGTTGCAGCCAAAATGTGTTTCAGCCCTGGGAGGCCGAAATTTGAATGGGCCGAAAATTTGCCAACTTACAGTAATGGACGAAAAGGGTGTACGATCATGACCGTGGTTCTGTCCCCGGGGAAAATTGCGATTCCGCGGCCGCGTTTTTTGCGATTTTCTAGAAGACCGCGTTTTCCGCGATTTTCCCGCGTTTTTTGAACTTTTTTGTTGCGCTACACGTAAACATGGTGCACTGTTCGGTCAGCAACGTCTCATCGTGGCGGCTTTGTACTCAAGTATGACGAGTGCTTACACCAGAGACTTGTAACTGATTGATTTCACTACATACTCACTGAAAATTGACTCATATCAACTGCAAACTTGCCGCATATTTACCGCAAATTCACCGCAAATTCACCACAAATTATGCCATATTATGCCGCGTTTTTCCCTGCGTTTTTGCGGTGTTTTCCCGCGATTTTCCCCCGGGGACAGGTGGTTGTACCGGACGTACAGTGTGTGACACTCCGGAAACCACTGAGCTGTGCGTGTCTTCACCACAATGATTGGGGAGTGACCCCCCCCCCCCCCCCCGGTTATCCTTTTCTCTGTGTATTACTTGTGGTTTACCGGGTGTTAGCGGCCGTCGTGAGTTCCCTTTAGGAACGGACACGATAATTTACTCTTTTTTCTCTCTCTCTCTCTGTGTATTGGATATACATTGTAAGTAGTAAATAAAATTAATTGTAACATCGCTTACCCAATAATGTACGCAATGATGACAACTTGAATCAGCCTGTTGATGATACCAACTTTCTTACTTTTGATATGGACCACCTTCAATGTATCATACTCCAGCAGTACGCTGGATATGGTAGCTGCGAAGCCCATTCTTCTCTACCCAAAGAGGTATCTTTTATCTCAGCACGACTTGCACCTCAATCCAGACCCAACACATTCGTCACTCTTTGAAATGTAACAGCCTAATCACAGCTAGCTGTTGGCCTAGCCAGAGCCATGAAAACGAAAGTTTCGAAAGACACAAGGCCAAGGCCGGACGGATACAGTTTTCAAAATATCAGCTCACGCATGTTTGATATCGATGACCTCACATGCCATTTCCCGCGCGCACTTGGCAATCAGATGATCTGCGCACGTGATCTAGCTGGAGGCCGAGCGCGAGGCGCAAGGCGTCCGCGGCTACGGGTTTTCCCCTACAACGTAAAACGTATTTGTATCGATTGCCATGCCTCTGTTTTTGACTTTTCACATCGATCCTTTGTAAGTTTGTGCAATCATTGTCATCCCTTGTCTTTGACTTCAGCTTTTAGATTTTGAAGTTGTGGATTCAGCATTTTTATTCCACCTTCGATTTGTCTCGCCCGTTCTTTCAGTGTCTTTCTTTGCATGCCTTTTGAAGCTTTTCTTGGCCCTCCACCAGTCTCTTGCTCGTCTTGTGAAGCATTGCTATATTGACGCTCGCCCCATTAGTGTCTCGAAATTGTGCGATATGAGTGGCGATTCACCCTCCGTTCTGTCTGCTCAGACGGTGGAGGAAATGGCAGTCGTTGGTCAGCAAGCCGTGCGAGAAGTAGCTTGCAAATTTCAGCAGGCCTTACAGAGTTTCAACAATACCTATAAGACTCCTGAATCGGCTAGTAATAGTGAGCTTCAGCAGGAGAGAATTGCCCTGTTTCAAGAACAAATTACTTCTTTGCATGGCACTGTGGATACTATTCGTTCAGCTTATCAGAGCTGCCTTCGGTCTCCTGCGTCGGATAACTCATCCAAACCACCAAGTTCTCTTCCTAGTGAGAAGGAGCGCCTTATTCAGGTAAGATTATGAATTTGAGCTGCTTGTGTTTCAGCAACTCCATTGTCTGGTATTTCTTTGTGATGTAGACTAGATACGTCGACAGTGTGTCTTTCCCCTTGTCGTTGAAAGACTACACACGCACACACAAGGTTCGTATGGCGTTACCTACAAGTAATACTTCAAGTGCTGTAGTGCTTCTGCTAGGCGTATGCTACAATCATTGTGTGAGAGTCGGCGAAATACATCTCATGTTTCCCCAGCTGGCTTTCAGAACGCTTACTGGCTCTTGGATCGCAACAAATCCTTGTCTTTTTGTCTCGTTGTTTGTTGCACTACTACCAGTGATGTTTAGGGCTACCGTTATGCATGTATCGGTATAGCTTGGCTTCTTGTAGTTACAGTATCACAACGTGATATTGCTTATGTCAGGAACTTTGAAACCATCCATATTCCGGGCAGTAGTGGTATATTTCGTGTCGCACGATGCATTGCACAACTGGAGGAGGAAAAGCGGCCAAGGCAGTGCATCAGTAAACGTGTACAGTGCTTGATACCACACGTATTAGTTCAACAACCCTGCCTTGAACCAAGTTGAAGACTGCATAGGTTGTGTTGTACAGTCCTGTACTGTAGTTTTTTTTTCTTGCAGACAAGTACTTGAAGTAGTTAGCTATACGTATCATAGATGCAACTGCATTTGATTATGTATTTTCGGAGCAGGGGTGCTAGGAATATCAACCAGGGGCATGGGAAGATATTTTAGGGTGGTATGGCGAAGCATCTGAAGTGCTTGAGGGGGAGGGGCACTCCACTGAAAATTTGGAAATTTAAAGCTAGAAAAGCCGCATAAATAGATTCCCGGGGTAGCTAGGACGAAAGTCGCAAAGTCAATACCTTAGTGATTGTAGCGTGTCCTACCCCCCCCCCCCCCCCCCCTGTCAATATTACCGCTACACACAGAACCGGCTCTGGCTGCTCCCGCGGCTGGACGTTTGACTGTCGTGTCCACATGCATTGGACATGTCTAAGTACGAATCGGTTTATGGGCTGAGCGCGTCGTGTTTCCTGCGAAAAGGAACACCATGAAGTCCATGGACGATGATGCGATAATCTGCACCTGGCATACCCTGGCCCCGTGTCCTTTATTGCATATAGGGGGGGGGGGGGGGTACAGTAAAACCTGGGTTTACCAGACCCTGCATCCGGACCGGACACCTTTCCATGCTCCAAAGTGCTGTGGATTGAACGTGCATCCCTGGATCAAGCGGAATCCTGTCATATCACAGGCTAATTTCCGCTGTACCAAAGGCGTTCAGTTAGGGCAGGATTATTCCACCCCCCCCCCTTCCTTTTCTGTTCTTCTATGGTTCGCATATACCACGTGACTAAGTGATCATGTGTGAGCGATCCAGAGGTGTAGGTCATGTTTCAGTAGCTGAACCAGTTGCCTACTCAGCAAGGTGTTCCCAGCGTACACTCTGTGTCTGGCGTCGTCGTGTACATATGTACAGCTTTAGTCACAATTTGATCACAGCTTGACGGTCGATGCCTGGCTTTGATAGCCTGTGCATGTCCCACACCATTGTGTACATCCCCAGAGAGATTGTCTTGCTTGTGAACACAGCCAGCACTGTAAAGATCACGGGTGCAAGCTCTTGTAATTGTTCAGTGCTGCGCAATGAAATCCAGCCGAGTCACTCCAGTAAAGCGCTGGGCGTTGCGCAGCCCTTCGAACACTGGGCTGAGAAATGGTGCAAGGCACAAACATGAGTGACGCGACTGGATTTCATTGAGCGGCACTGTACATTGAAACACACATGTACAGTACACACACGTACAGTACCCGCATGTGGATGTACAGTAACACTTTTATTCTCACTTTTACCTGTGGTGTGAGCTTTGACTTTTTAGGGGCCGTCCGTAATTATCGAACGTTTTTCACCAAACGAATTATTTTAGTTTAGACCCAACCCCTCCCTCCCTCCCCCTCAGAACGTAAAAAAGTTTGACATATGCATGCATAATACAACAAAAGTTGCAAGTGTGTAACTGCTCCTATGGGCATGCATATGTATCAATGTTTTCTGAAACGAAATTGGTCAACCCCCTCCCACCCCATAACGAAATTATTTCGTTTTGTGAAAAAAGTTCGATAATTATGGACGACCCCTTAGTGATTTTTATTTCCGGGACACCCTGGTGTTGGAGTGGGCCACCAGCAGCCCAGAAATGCGCATTTGAAAGCTCTCTCAGTGTGTATGTGTGTGTGTGTAGCATGTGAATTGGACTCTGGCCTGAAATCATTGAACTTGGCATTGAAACTTCTGGTGACTGTGTGCACGTTGCCATTGTTCAGGAGCTCCATGAAATCAGCGCTGCTGTTCAAGAGGAGATCGCACTGACACGTGAGCTGTTATGGACCCTGTCCGTACATGGGCAGCAAGCAGACTGCAGCACGCAAACGATTCTTACAGCCAAGCATCCGTCCTGATATTTGCTGTCATGTTTGATGTTTGATTCTATGTGGACTTTCATTTTTGTGTGGATGCTGTTGCTGAATTTACCATGTACCACGCTTTTCTGGCATAATCCTGACGTCATTTTCCCATCATTTGCTATATGTTTTCTTAACCTTGCTCTGCTATTGTCGCACTCAACTTCTTAATTTTGTACATACATTGACTCTAAACTTGATACTTCCAGTCTTCCACCCATGAAAATAACAATCATATCAATTCCCTCTTTTAGTATTACTTTTGTGTTGCTTTTCCACGTAATGTTTTGTCGGCTACGGTGTGTTTCCTTTGTATTTCAGGTGCCGGAGCTCTTTTGTTGACTGCCTTTCTAATCTTTTTCTTTCTTTCTTTTTCCCTTCCTTTTTACTGCCGATAGAGTTCTGGTAATATCTGCCACTGCTAACAGTGGGCAGCTCTGCTCTGTCTTCTTTCTTTTTTCTTTTTCTTTTTTAATTATCACTTTCTGTCCCAAGCCAGTGCAGTGTGCACTTATCTGATTTTAGACACGCGATCTTGTGTCGATATCCTGCTCCATTCAGAGTATTCAGAGTATTCGGATTACGCTTTCCTACCTGTGTGGCATACTCGTTCACCGTGCATGGCTGTGCATACCCATGCGGCTGCTTGGCATGTTACATGTACAGTGAAACCTGTGACTAACGACCACCCCTTGGGGCCAGAGACATCGGTCTTTAGTGGCAGGTGGTCCTTAGTTAAAGGTTTGCACTACACAACCATAATATGAATGTGAGACCGTCCGTGCCTGGCGAAGTGGTCTTTAGTACCAGGCTGGTCGCTAGTCACGGTGGTCTTTAGTACCAGGCTGGTCGTTAGTCACGGTGGTCTTTAGTTACAGGGTTTACTGTATCATCAAGAGTAGTATTCTTGGTATCATGTACTATGTACTAGTATAATGACCGTCGCAAGAGAAGCACGCAAATCTGCAAATGCACTGCATTGGTGGTCGATCAAGAGTACATGTACATAAAGTAGGTATGTTTCATGCATGACAGCAAGAGACTGCGGGTTTTTTTCTCCAGATCAGAGGTGAAAAGAGCGAAGAACCATGTCTAAAGTCTCACTCTAATTTTTTCCACAAGTTATGCCTTCATAGTACCAAACATATGCATAAAGTGAAAGGGTAGCTCCGAAACATCGCAGTGGTTTGAAGTCATTGCCATTGGAACCTCAGGGCATGAACCATACCCCTGGCAACTGCATATTCACGGCGGAAACTGAGTCAAACTTCACAAAAAAGCGGGGGTTTCAGCACTTTTTGGACTCAAAATCCCTAACAAGTAATCTAAAACGTAACAATTAGAATTTAGTTCATTGATCACTAGTAGTATACTAGTATCGATCGATTACCGAGAGGTATACATGATGTAATTGTTTCAGCCCTAACAAAATAAATAAAAAATAATGAAGTGACTTGATCACAGCATAATGACCAGAGGCTCACTGGGGAGCAGGGAGTGGTATTGTACTACTCCCTGCTGGGGATCACAACCACCCTACAACTACATGATTATACCATTCTATTCCTTTTGCATGATTATACTGTTATCTTACATACGTATAAACATGGTTTAGGTATGATTTCTTCTCTTTCCCTTTGGCCAACTTCTACAGGTAACTGCAAGAGTACATTAAAAGTGGCATGATTGTATGTACTCTTGCAAACGGCAAGAGTATATTACTAGTATAAGCTCCTGGGAGCTTGTATACTCTCGGTAACCATGGTGATACCACCCCAACAAGACAGTGTGTAGGTGTAGAAACACGGTCAACTAGAGGTGGGCAAGTAAACATGAAGTGAAGACACACACACACACACAAACTGTTGAGAGAAACATTCAAGATATCATTCGAAATGGCGCGCACCAGCACGAATTACGACGACAGTAAAACAAATCGACGCACACACGTGTACGCAAACACACACACACAGATTAGGTTATGAATAGTTCTAAAGCAGAGTAAAAAGAACACACATACGCTTCAAGAAAGAAAAAAGCCAGCGATAATTATACAAAGCCAAACGCCAAACATCCTACTACTCAAGTAGAACCAGCAGGCACAGACAACATAAGAAAAAAAGGCCTAGATGTATTCCACCGCATCACAATGCATGCCAGGTTAGCAAGACCTAGGCACCGAGTGGACACTACAAAGAAAAAAAACAGCATTATTTAAATCCAGCTACATAAGAGACAAAGCAGCCGGACATTTAGGTTCACCACCTACAAATCCAAGTTCCACTGAGGGTTGATAGTGAGACGGTTCATCTTTTTTGTCCGTGTATTGTTATTACTATTTTTAAAATCCAGCTAGATCAGAGGAAGCCCAGCTAAACACCCCAGACATGGGACTTACAAAGTAAAGCTCCACCACTAATAGTAGGGTGGCTGATTGTGAGGTGGTGGATGAGCAGGCCCAGCGCGGTACCCATCATCATGGTACACATTGCCTGGAGGGTCGTAGCGAGGCGGAGGTCCCATGGGAGGCTCACTCGCCATGCTACGGCCTTGCTGTGCGTGCGGCGGCCAGGGAGCGTGCACGTTGTGTTCACCAGCAGCACCGTCCGACATTGGACTCGGATACGGTCCTCTCCAGTCATCGGGCGGTGGTGGTGGTGGGCCGTGGTGGTGAACGTCATGGCGAGGCGGCGGGCCCTGCGGTGAGAAGAGCTGCTGTTGCTGTGACGATGGTGGTGGCGGATGCATATGGTTGTCCCGGCCTGGCGAGTGCGACCGGTATGCGGGGCCGCTGGACTCGAAAAACCGGTCATCAATGTGCTGCGGTCCGTGCGACCGTGGCGGGGGTGGTGCCATATGCTGTTGTGGAGGCGGAGGACCAGCATCATAGGGATGATTCACGTTGGATTGCATGGGTGGTGGTGGTTGATTGACCATGTGAACAGGATCGGGTCCACCGGAACCTACATACGGTGCTGGTTGGCCTTGTTGCACATGAGGAGCCTGGGGATCCACAAAACGAGGCTCTGCAGGCATGTATTCATTCATTGGACGCTGTGCTTGTTGCTGTGGGGGCATCTGTTGCATTGGCTGTTGCTGCTGCTGCATCTGCACAGGTGGCAGTGGCTGCTGCTGGTGGTTAGGGTTATGATTGTGATTGGTTTGTTGAGGAGGCTGTTGGTTCAGGAGTTGCTGTTGGTGTTGGGGCTGGAATTGGGGCGGTTGCTGTGGCGGTTGCTGGTACTGTGGCTGGTGCGGTGCTGGTTGCTGATGTGGTGGGTGTTGCTGCTGTGGTGGGTGTTGCTGCTGTGGTGGCTGTTGCTGCTGCTGCTGCTGTGGTTGTTGTTGTGGTTGTTGTTGTTGTTGTTGTTGTTGTTGCTGCTGCTGCGGTGGGGGTGGTAGTTGCTGTGGGGGCTGTTGCTGCTGTGGTTGTTGCTGCTGTGGTTGTTGCTGCTGTGGCGACTGTTGTTGCTGCTGCTGCTGCTGCTGTGGCTGCTGCTGTGGCTGCTGCTGTGGCTGCTGGTTAGGTTGAGAGAAATCCTGCTGCTGCTGCCCTTGGTCATTGGAAGCAGCAACTGGTCTGTCCATCTGACTGATCACTGGTGCAGCAGCTGCTGCCTTAGCTCGTCGCTTTTCCTCGATCGCACGCAGTACTATTTCAAGTTCATCGCTGGAGAGGTCATTGCTGTTGTTGCTTGCATCAGCCTGCTTCAAGCTAGATAAGGCACTACGTAGCACAGCGGCAGTGCTGCCACCGCCCCCAGTGCCACCGCCCCCAGTGCCACTGTCAACCTGGCGATCATCAGCTGACAGAACGCGGCTTGGGGTACGCTGCTGTGCTAGGAATTGCTGGAACTGCAGGAACTCTTGCAGCTGCTGCTGTAGATTACCACCATGACCACTGTCCAACGATAGTTGAGCAGACTCGTTGGATGGCCGAACAGGAGACTCTTTCTTTGCCAGCTTCGACAAATATGCAAGTTTTAAAATCTCTGCTAACTCCGAACCACGATCATCATTTCCTTTTGTGAGTGCGAGCAAGGCAGCCAAGCCATCAGATGATGGAGAGGGCGAATCTACGCCACTGGCACGTTTAGGTTGAGGGGCGGGCGCATCTCCTTGGTCATAGGAGCCAAGTCGCTTTCTCGGCGCATACTCATCATCGTAGCGATCACTGTGACTCGGGGGTATGTCATTGCGAGGTGCAACATCGCCACGCACAGAGTCAAATCTCCGTGCTCCGTCAACCTCCCACCTTTCCACGCGGTAGTCATCAGGAGGATGCTCCCAGCCTCCGCGCCTAGGGGCACCTCTGTCTGGCAATGGTTGTTCATCTTCCCGGCTTCGGCGTTGGTCACGGCCGCGGATCACAACTTGATTTCGAATCATCTCGCGCTCTCGCTCAGGTGGGCCACCAATGGGCACCCGGTCGCGTCCAGGTACAATCATGGGCTCACGCTCACGCTCACGCTCCAGTCCAGGTCCAGGCCCAGGTCCACCACCACGCCCACGCTCCAGTCCAGGTCCAGGTCCACCACCACGCCCACGCTCCAGTCCAGGTCCAGGCCCAGGTCCACCACCACGCCCACGCTCCAGTCCAGGTCCACCACCATGCCCACGCTCCAGTCCAGGTCCACCACCATGCCCAGGTCCACCACCACGCTCCAGTCCAGGTCCAGGCCCAGGTCCACCACCACGCCCACGCCCATGCATGTTATTATCACGCGCTCTCATCATCAGTTCATGCTCTTTGTCCAGCTCATTTCTGCTCATACGTTCCCTCGGCGACTCTCGGTCCCGGCGCCAAGCTACATCGCCACCCCTGCTCCTATCTCCTTCCTCTCGGGGGTTATCGCGCACGTTAAATTCACGACGCTGCCTGGTGTCCGGATGGACAGCACCAGTGGCTTTCAATTTCTCCAGACGAGCCGCAGCTAACTCACGCTGAAGCCGTTGATTCTTGTCAATGTCGGGTCGCTTGCGGTCATCAGGTCTTTGCCGAAACATGTCCTCTCTGGAGCGAGGGTCATCTCTGGAGCGAAGCTCAGCATCGCGGTCACGCGGCGGTCGCTGCTGCTGCTGCCACCTTGACGGTGATCCCGGGTGATCAGGCTGGGTTCGATGCATACCCCCCTGGCTGTGCGGGTCTGATGAACCAACTGGGCTGCGTGAACGAACTGGGCTGCGTGAACGAACTGGGCTGCGCGAGTCCCCCGTGGCAGTGTTCCTAGCAGATGATGGTGGATGCCTTGGCTCTACATAGCAGAAACACAATGGCACACAACAACCTTCAGCAAGTCGCCCAAACCAGCCAAATTTCTATTTCAGGTCAAGTGCGTAGAAGGAGGCATAGTTTGCAGAAGCCGATTACAGAAAGCAGGGAGAATGATTTTTTACTGAGCACTATTAAAAGCGGGATTTACAGAACCATTTTTGAGATGCGATGCGTGATGCGACGGTCGCGAAACCGGGAAATCCCCAAAGTGCATCCATCTCACAGCTCACCCAACTATCGCAATTGGGCCATTGCAGAAGTTGAGCTTGGCTCAACTTTCCCGACACGACATGCGATATACGATTTTGACCTTTTTTGCAGCAAAGTCGAACAAAAAGCCCAAGAGTTTATTGTAGATTTGCAGAAGTTGTACCTAGTCACGCGAATAACATGGTGACCGTTGCGCCAAACCAGCAAGGCGACGTCATATCGCTGACTTTCTCTGTGAATGGTATGTCACGAGTTCGCATCGCACACCGCCGTCGCAGATCACGTCGTATCGCAAAAAAAAAAAGATTGTGTGCGCAACATTGCATTTAGGACATTAACTTACTATTTCCAACTGAGTATGTAGATCAGGATAGACAGGTCCATTGAGATACAAACATGTCGTGACAATTTGTTTGTTGCGATTTTCACGATTGTGCTGATGCACTAATTCACAAGGCACAGACGCTAGAAACGCACTTTGACCGTCACTCTGAAAAGGTTAACGACAGAAAGTCTGAGATGGGTTGACACTTTAGGGTTGAAATTAAAAAAGAGAGGACCATAAGTTTACAAGTTATCCGTTTTGTCCAATACTAACAATTATAAGCAGGATAACGGATAACTTGTAAACTTATGGTCCTCTCTTTTTTAAATTTTAATCCTAGGCTCTCCATCCGACTTTATGGTTGGTTCACATAAGCCAAATCGGCGCCGGGAACCACCGGCGGTGAGCCAGCTCCCGATCCGTCCCGCATCCGGTTCGAGTACCAAATCTACTACAAAGTAGTACAGAATGTGCCCAAATGCTACGACAGGTTCGCAAATTTAAGCTTGAATGCTTTGTTTCTTCAGTAGTTCAAGGTCTTTCGGTGATGGCCACACCTTTTTGCTGGAGATCATTTTAAAAACTACTTCTACACATTTTATTGCAGTGTAGTAAGCGATGGTGTCGAAACCATGCATGAAAACGTTGATGAAGTCACAAGAACTTGCCAATGTATCCTTCGTATTTTTTTCGTTTCAATTGTATTTCTCATAAGTTGCACAACAGTCAAGCAGATCATCCGAGAAGGACGGGTTGCCACCCTGAAGCGACTACAAGAATGGCTAACGGACATCTTTAGATTCAATTTAGGAAAATTTAGGGCGAGTCTTGGTTTGAATTTTTGACAACGTCTGGGTCCCGGCATCGGCGATCACCGTTCACAAACCATTTTTGGTCAAAATTGTACGGGATCGGTGCCGGGGCAGATCGCAAGAGTTGGGCACTGCCCAACTTTGCCGGCGGTCCCTTGCGATTATTTACTGTATGATTTTGTTATATTTAGGGGCCTTCCGTAAATACCGATATTTATTTAGAAACGAAAACTAGTCGTTTCTCTTCAATCCCCCTCCCCCCTCCCTGAGAAACGAACACATACAAATGGTACATAGTATCGATATTTTTGGTCTTTTTTCTTGACATGCTCACGCATGCAAAATGTACATCGATAATTTTTGAGAAACGAACAGGCGCTCAACCCCCTCCCCCCTAAACGACTAGTTTTCGTTTCTAAATAAATATCTATATTTACGGATGGCCCCTTATCAGAAATTACTACAGTCTGTTTCAAAAAGATTAGCAATCAAGTTTGGGTCTTAAAAAGTATGAAGATATGGGAAATTTGGACAACAAAGTACATAAAACGGCTTGTTAGGACACGGCAAATTGTTCTGTGAAGGTTTCGGAACAATTGGACCAACCGTTAAGGAGTTAGTATTTCGGCCAGGTTTCTGGCCTTTTCCCATGGTTTATAATTTGCCCTGGAAGCCAGTATCGATTTGTTATCAAAACCCACGATTTATCCCTTCCTTTTTGGCCTTGTGGTTATGAATGCTGTCTGCTGACCATGAAGTTGTGAGTTCAAATCCCAACACATCTTCAAGTCAAACATTTTTCTTCATTTTTTCACGCTGGTACAAGACAAAGAAGGTGGCTGCGCCATGGCTTGTTGTTGGAGCTCGCGTTTCCTGCCGAACTGACTGACACTTGACTGGCTCACGCCATGTGAAGTTGTGAACACACACAACACTGAAACCGTGTGAGTGAACACGGAAGTCATTGCGCTGTAGCTACGTGTTGTTGAATACACCGGCACATCGATCGATTTCTGTTTGAGAATTATTTTAGTATTTGAAGATCGCCAATTTATTTGAATTTAGGAGTCAACGCCGTCTTCTATCAGCTTTCACAGGCGTCTGCTTTTAATGTCGTCGAAGTCACATGGATAGCTTTGCCACTTCAAGGCCTTGGGAATGAGTCTGTGTCGATGCCGTTTTCGTCACATCGTGAGAGTAAATTGCATCCGCGGCAGCTCAAAGAATCTATTTGGTCACAAAATGGACGCATCCCGCTCGTCAAAATTTACCACACTTTCGACATGATTGTCCTCTCTGACTCCATATCCATATCGATGCGAGGAAGAACTCGTTTGTTGTAAACCAGACGAACATGTACGAGTACCGACGTCAGTGAGTTGTCATTTTTCATGCTTTCGCGCGGAATATTTCTTCGAGTTCACAGTGAGTTTTTCCAGGCAGCTCTCGAGCGCTCATACGGTAAGACGGCAAATTCCCCGGGCGATCGCCAGGATTGCTAATCTTTTTGAAACTGACTATAGTTATGACTAACAGTCCAACAAGGTAACGAGATAATATACAGTCAGATAGTGCGACAACAAGGCACAAAACCGACAAGGATATTGAGACATTCGACGACCTGACACCTAGCTCCAACACATCTACAAAGCGCAAACCAACCAACAACCTTCCAACTTGGAAGGCTCAGATGCGGAAAGTTCCAATGAGAGGAAGGGATGCGCCACGAATATGTGCACGAGCTATGTCCCTCGGCAACAAAGAATGTTGAACGTTACGGGATGATGATGACGAGACTAGTAAGACCATTGGACAAACCGGTCTAACTACAACTCGAAAACGCAAGGCAACAGACCACCCAACTTGGGAGGCTCATTCTTTGTTGCCGAGGGACATAGCGCGTGTACATCTTCGCGGCGCATCCCTTTCCCTCATTGGAACTTTCCGCACCTGAGCCTTCCAAGTTGGAAGGTTGTTGGTTTGTGCTTCGTAGATGTGTTGAAGCGGTGTCAGGTCGTTGAATGTCTCAATATCCTTGTCAGTTTTGTGCCTTGTTGTCGCACTATCTGACTGTATATTACCTCGTTACCTTGGTGGACTGTTAGTCATACTGTACAGGCAGAAAATTTCGTCCAACTCCAAAGAAAGGGAGTTCGTCTGGTTGAAAATTTCGTCCATGGATCATAAGAGTGTATTGAAAAGCTGGACAAATCGACATTAGTCCGGCATTTTATTTAGTCCCACAGCTCCTTGGACGAAAAAGACGAAATTAAATTCCAGACGAATATTTCTGCTTATACAGTAACTAGTAACTTATAGGTGCTTTTCTCTTTCCACATTACCAAGAGTCCATAACCCCAAGAGTGTGCAGCTCTGTACATGGGGATCCGCGCGGCGGAATTCCAACATAACATCAAAAGTGACGTACACGCTCGTTGCGCTTGCACTACTCCCTGGTTCCAAGCACCGCGGGATGCGGAGTTTTGTACAGCTGTGCCTCAGCGGCATGATGTAATGTTGGAATTCCGCCATGCAGTGGGCCTACAGCAGCCAGACCCCAGTTGCACACTCTTGGGGTTATGGGCTCTTGATATTAGGGAGGTTTAGTTCCCACGTAATGGAAACGCGTACGTGGGTGATCCACGTAAAGTGGATGAAGGGTACCCACGTTGCAATGTTGTGTTTAGTCACACGGAACAAACAAAAGCATAAAGCGAAAGGCCCAAACATGGTCAAAGACGAAGCTACCCGGGCCTAAGAAGCTCATCCAATATTTTGATTTCATGCTTCGGAAACTTCTTCAGCTGAGCACCCTCACAGCTCGCACAATGCGCTCCATTCTGATTTTCACCCACGTTTTGGCGGAACGTGGGTGAGCCTCCATACACGGTATGTCGTGAATCAGAAAACGTCTGGACGTGGGTCACTGAGTATCACGTGGTACACACACGTAAAGTACCCACGGATTACGTGGGACTAAACCTCCCTATTACCAAGAGTACATAACCCCCAAGAGTGTGCAACTCTAGCTATGGGGTCTGCGACGGCAGAACTTCACATCACGTGATGAACCCGTACACATTATTTGCACTCTGTGCATGATTGATACAGGGTTGTACGAAACCCAGCTTTGGGTACAACTCTCTTGTGGTCACTTTGCACTGTTTGCCAGTGTAACCTTTTGAACCATGTCACGTGATGTAAAGTTCTGCTGTCGCAGCACTGCATAGAGGTTGTGCAGGCAGTTGCACACTCTTGGGGTTATGTACTCTTGATATTAGAGAGGTTCCGCATAACGTAATTACGTTAATAAAAAACGTAGTCGATCTACGGAAAGTCTTACGTAAACTGCATGCGCAACTGCGTTCCGCCATACGGAGTTTTCAAATCACGTAGCTGCCCTTGGCAACTCCGAACGCGGCAGTGTACGACCAGATCGACCTGGGGAGAGAGTCATAAATTTGTACCCCAATCCACTTACGGACCAGATACGTTATCAGAGCCCTATCTACGTACTCTACGTAGACAACTTTCCGTAAGTGGAGTGCAAACTCGCGAATTCACGGGTTTTCCCCGCCCACTAACGTAAAGCTGCTCAACTTTACGTAGTGCGGAACCTCTCTATTAAAGAGGTTCCGCATAACGTAATTACGTTAGTAAAAAACGTAGTCGATCTACGGAAAGTCTTACGTAAACTGCATGCGCAACTGCGTTCCGCCATACGGAGTTTTCAAATCACGTAGCTGCCCTTGGCAACTCCGAACGCGGCAGTGTACGACCAGATCGACCTGGGGAGAGAGTCATAAATTTGTACCCCAATCCACTTACGGACCAGATACGTTATCAGAGCCCTATCTACGTACTCTACGTAGACAACTTTCCGTAAGTGGAGTGCAAACTCGCGAATTCACGGGTCTTCCCCGCCCACTAACGTAAAGTTGCTCAACTTTACGTAGTGCGGAACCTCTCTATTACCAAGAGGTTATGTACTCTTGGTATTACTATTGGCTCAACATCCGAGTTTTTTTTTACATCAGAAATTGTTATGTGGAAATCATACGAATTACAGTAGGTATCGGTTATAGCGTGGGTGTTTGAAAAACGACTTTCTATTCTATTCCCGATATTTCTTACACGCGATAAATATAGTGCGACGTATCATATGCATGTGCGCATAGCCAGGAAGATGATCATACATGCAACGTAGTGCTGCTGTGTATGCGGTTGCTCGTACTTCCAAAGTACTGTAGTCCCATACTGGGCCATAGCCTGCATAGGTTCACCATGTGGCTGAGCAACATGAGTTGCATGACCACAACAGCTGCACTTCCAGCATTATGATGCAATTCGAATCGGTTCAGAACTGTATCGGGCAGATGTTATTACTACAGGCGATACACTTTGTACTAATCTGGCATGTTTTGCTACACAAAGTCCATTCTTAGGACCGATATATTCTATTACACGATAACATTGCTTGTAAGAATAAATATACACATGAAACTTATGTTATGATTATGAAAATATGAGAGTTCATTCTTGTAGGCAGTATATTCTTTTACACGACCACACTATAACCGATACGCACTGTACCAGGGTTCCACCTGTACATGGTTATTGTTTTGAACAATGGCCACAGTGCTAGGATAAGCGGTCTGTGAGTTACAACGGTCGCAACTTTGCTCAAGGCCAAATTGCCTGACTATACAGAAAGATCCCACAAGTGGCTACAAAAATTGAAGTACAAGTAAAAAAAATTCGAGGGCGCAATTCCCTGTACATTGAGTTATGTTGGTTATTGGTTAATCGAGCACCCTCTCTAAGCCAGCATGACCAGTGCCAAAGCTATAAAGGGTCCACTGTACGTGGCAGGGCAAAACAAAAATACACTGTTTGGATGACAAAGGGACATACCTGCAATTTTCTTCAGCAGATCGTTAAAATCACCCGCGGCCTGTGGTCACAAGAACATAGGATAAGGAATTAAAGGATTGTTATCTGTCCAGGGAGCATGCAGCCACCCAACTCGATCTAGAAGTCAACTTTAAATTTGCTCCCAGAGCACAAGGCAGATCTGACTCATCAAGGTGGCCTCACTCACATCTGCAGCCCATTTCAAAAGAAAAAGCAATCAAATTTTGACCAGAAAATGAATGAGCACAAACGAAATTCGAAGATCAAAATACATAGAAAGGCTTGCCTGGGCATGGCAAATTGTTCTTTTTTTCTCTTTTTCGAAATGGATTGTAGTCATGGTGCCGATAAAATTCATTCAGGAGTTGGCCAGTGTGTTGAAAACAAGCACACAACTTTCAGTAGGTGATCCGGAAGATTGCAAAGTGGACTGCTCAGAGGCTCTGATAGATTTTGTGGCAGGTTGTACAAGTACTGAAAAAACGTTCAAATGTTGCGCCAGACATTACAAGAATCAGTGCCTACCTTTTCAGCGATTAGGGATCTCCCATGTAATACCAGGCCGTGCATTCCCCTCATGAATGCTCCGGCCTTCTCTTCAGTTGCCATCGTAACAACACCATACGACACTTGGCTGTGCTTAGGTGTGATAAGCTTACACTGTTCAACCTGCAAACAAAACAAAATGAAAATACAAAGCACTGTTATAAAGGAACAATAGTGATAAATAACACCTAAACAATGCCAAAGAAGTATCACAAGGTATTCTTGCAAGGTACCATGTGCGTGAAAGATAACAATCAAACACCCAAAGGGACAGAATCCAAGTGTGAAACCACACTAGCGACACAATTCTGGCCCGACAAGGCCAGACTAACACAACATTCTACTGGTTGAACAATTTCAAAAAGATAATACTCTCTTTTTGAACACAAAGGTCAGGCTTATGAATGCCATTGTGCGGTGGACTCGTGCCATTGAAGCTTTAACCTGTTTGGAGTCAGTTGGTTTTGTTGATCTTGAAAAATTTGAAAATTTCACGGTGTAATTTGCAAAAAGAGCCAATGTGAAGAAGCCAAACAAGAGTTGCTATCACATCACTACTGCATACTGTGCTTGGTCAATGCCTGTACTCCACCTGATGAGAAGGCAATGAAAGTACTAGTGGAAGAGCATTGAGAAGGCTGGTTATGAGAAGCCCTAAGCTTGCTTTTTTTCCGAGCTTTGGTTTGCTACAGAGCGTCAATTTTGTATGGTTTCAAAGGTCAGACAGGGACATCGACAATGGCTCACTTTATCACGAAATAGCTTTTTCGCACACTGCTGCTCTGCAAAGTGAGAACATATGGAATGATAGCTGGAAATGCTGACCTAGAGAGCAAGATACCACACGGTCTAGAATAGGTGCAACAAAACACGACCAGTCAACGGAAAGAAACCGAGAACCGTACCTCTCCATACTGCAGGCAGTACTGCGCTTTGAATTCAACCGGTCGAATCTCAGCGGGAATGTTGCTTATCCAGATGGTACGGGCCACGGTGCGAGCACCGCCAGGGTTGCTGTTAGCAACACCGGCGTTGTTGCTAGCACCGCCGGGGTTGCTGTTAGCAACAGCAGAGTTGTTGTTAGCACCGCGGGGGTTGCTGTTAGCAACAGCGGAGTTGTTGGTAGCAACGCCGGAGAAGTTGCTGGTAGCAACACCGGAGTTGCTGCTCTTCCTGTAAACAGATACAATCATGAACATGTTGAGTACGTACTGCGGGCGTCCATGAAAGTACAATGCACATAGCGAGCTGTCCCAGCAATCCTACAATGGCAATAGGGACCTTTCGCATCTGCTGCGAATCGAATGCGAAACGAAAGTTTGATTCGGCTCTACCTTGTTTCGTTGAAAACAGATTTAGGTTTCGCAAGTCGTCATGCAAATGTCCATGGCAACTACGAATACGGCCGGTAGCTTGGCGTACGGGTGTTTGCACGCACACGTGCATGGATCACGGAATCAAGGGAAAATGTGTACCTGGCAAAAAAATGTGTACCTGGCGGATTCGGAGCGCGCCACGAATGAAGAGGCTTCCATTCGTGAAAACGAGCTCTCCGCAGGGACTCTGACTAATCCTCGAACCCAGGTGACGAATCAGCATTCGTTTCGTATCCGTTCGCGTGGTGCGAAAGGTCCCTAATATCTGCCACATACCTCAAACTTGTGCCAACATGCTAGAGAAGCGTGGAGCCCGAAACAAAACAAAAAACAACCCTATGTACAGCATATCTGTCAAACTGTGTTTCTACATCTGTGATGATCAGTGATCAATTTCGAGCTGTCTTCAGTCAAGTTACTCCTGCTTCTATTCCCTTGGGTTATGCCGTATGCCACAGTGAGTGACATCCTCAGTTTCTACTTCCTCCAGAAACAAAAAAACTCGGTGACTTTTTTTATCCACGTTCTAAGGTGTTACTGTGATTAAGAAATTGCATTCATAGGAACAAAAAGAGTTCACTAAAGTGAGTGGATATACTGCCTTGAAGCATGTACACTATTCTACAAAAATGGCAACATTGAGTCTACCTTGGAGTCACCATGGCTCGATTCCTCAGAGCTCAATTCACCAGAGCCAAGTGGCTGATCAAAGTCACGAAGTTTTCGTTTCCGGAGGAAGGACAAGGAAAGCCTGCTAATGAGTAATGTGTACACGTCTACACAAAGAACCCAGCGGTATCGATTCACACGATGAGCATCCACCTCCCCTCCCCCCCAACAGCAATGCGGAGATAAAGTTCTGCATTCATGAATTCCGAACCCAGGGTATGACCTTCCTAACAGACAAGAGGCTACCCAGAGTTACCAGTGTCCATTTCAGCAAACAGATTTAGTTTCTATTTTCTTTACTAGCCAGTGAACTGAAAATTGCAGACATGTCAAAGGCTAGGCAACAAGGATGGACATTTTCGCAGTAAAAGTTGTGGCATGATTCTTGCTACGTGCTCAGCTTTAAAAATGAAGGTGGCAAGGTAATCATCCCCTCCCCAACCGAACCTCACTGCTGGGAATTGAACACCGGTAACTATGGACAGGCTCTTCGAGTATGGTGAAGACTGAACAGTATATTTGAAGAAGAAAAAAACTGTCCGAACATGTCACAAACATACCCTGGAGGCTGGCTCGGTTTCTGTGGTGACTGGTGAGCATGCGAACGCCGAGCTCCCATACCTGGGCGTTGGTGGTCTTCGGTCAGTATGGAGTCGTCGCGGTCAACGCACAACTCCACAAGCTGTTCCAAGTTCTCACCCTTCGGAGGCGCACCTTCGTCTTCACTTCCCGACGTTTGGTCATCGTAGCTTAAGCCAATGGATGCAAGTATGCGGCTCGGTGCAGATCCATTTACCACAGCAGAACTGATACCCATACATGCCTTGATAACGTCTGCTGTTGCCACGCCGGCCGCGCTGCCGGGTGTTCCTGCCGTGGCATTTCCCTCTGACATTCTCCACAAACACTACTATGTCTGACTCACTATGCTATAACCTATCCAGCAGAAGACGTACACAAGTGCAGCACAAGAACATTCACCATGTACACAGAACACGCCAGCACACAGCCTGTGCCCCATGCCACGGGATAACAAATGGTCAACTGTGCCGGTTGAAAGCATACCGTTTGCACGCATATCCCTGTGCACTTAGAAAAAATAGGCTGAATGCCTACGCGCATGTAGCTGCGCAAGGAATCCACTCAGACACGGCACGCGGTAATGCGCTGCACATAGCCGCAAGGAGAAATAGGCGGCAATCCTTGAAATTTGAGGAACGCAGCAGCACACCTACACAAGTGCCGAGGCACTCGAAGGGTTGGAAAGCAATTAACGCCAGGTCCCAGGCAGCGGATACTGCTAACTCAACCTGGCAGCCATCATCCGCCGCCACCCCAGCGCCCGAGTCGTCTGGGCAGTATGCATCCGCCGCAGTCCCAGCAACAGCATTCAGTCCAGCATCCATGGCTAGATAAGGGAACGCCACATCACCGCCTCTTCTTCCCGCCAAAAGGAGATTGGAGTGCTCCCGGATCGGTAGTTGAAGTCGGCTGCCACTAAGCCAGGAGCTGGGCTCACCATGGGCATTGGTACGCATACTACAGTTGTGGACATTGAAATCCTATTGCACGCCTGGGACCAGCGCCTCAAGCGTGTACATGCCATTGTGTGGAGGGTTTATGCTACACACACCGGATGCATACACACACTACAAGGTAAACCACCCTGTGGTTGTTCTCTTTTCTTCTTCTTTTTCTTCCTATTTTTCTTGGATCGACCTCCTGGTATGCAACCGGTGTTGAGTTTTACATACCCTGACTTGAATGTGTACCTGAATCTTCAGGATACATACACTTTTGGCTGGATTTCAATGCCCACAGCCGTAGTCGACAGGACAGCGGCTGCCTACATTTATCAAATTCACTCAATACTGCACGGACGTCGCATTGCACAAGAAGCATTCTGCCAACTCCCAAAGAGACCCACAATCGATGTGAGCGCCAAGTGGCGGCTGGAACGCATGTCCGGCACCCCAATTGAGATTTCAGATCGCCTTCTTGTTTGACCAAGCCAAGGAGTCCTACACCGCCGCACCAATGCCCATGTGTGGCCAGATACTGCCTTGATCTACAGTTGAGCCTCACATGGACCAAGGTTATCCGCAACCTTGAGAAGGCAGACTTTCCCAAGTCTTTCTTTCTGTCTTTAGATAATGGATTAGACTTGAATTGACGTCGTGGCATGAACATACACATCTAATGTTCGTGTATGTGCAAGAAAATTCGGTAGGAGAGTTCAGTGAAGGACGTAGACACTCTCGCAACAATTTGGATGTTTTTTTTACATGCGTGCATGTTATGCTGAAATGTATGGATTGGGTTGTTAAGGCATTATGCTGCCCTGGGCCCCTGACCAAAGGTATCCGGACAAGTGAGGCTCAACTGTACTCGACTTTCACTCCGGATTGTGATACACTAACCTCCATTCACACCCCAGCACCAGCATTGCCCATACTACAGCCATTTTAACCTGAAACATACTCCCAAACATGTTTCCACTGGTCGTGAAACAAATCTACTGAGTACCATACTCACGCGATTAGAGCCCTCTCTCAAATAGTGCCCCAGTCTCTAAGGGCCAGTGAAAAAATACAGCCCCCTCTTGAATAGTGCCCCCCCCCCCCCCCCGGCTTGTAACCAAGCGCATGTGCAATTTGGTGTTCTTTTGGTAATGTTCTCGTCAATGTCCTTGAGCTACTGGTTTCAGGATCAAAGTCGCAGTTCTTGTTGCCCTTTCTGTTGAGTCGTGATCGTTAACAGTTAACTTTAGGCTATGTTTTTCTTCAACTTCTTTGTTTCTATGCGGGATGACGTAAATGTACAAGCATTGAAAAAATAGTGCCCTATCTTGAATAGTGCACCATCTGTGATGGATATTGAAAAAATAGTGCCCCAGGGGCACTAATCGCGCGAGTACGGTATTTGTTCGATATGGGGTCGTCCATAAGTACCGATATTAGTACTTTTCAAAACGAAATAGGGAGAGAGGTTCACTTCAAAAGTGAGTTAACAAAATGTAGACGCCCTGTGGAAAAATATGGACACAATGTCAATGGCCATCAAAGATTTGTGTTTGTAACCGGGAGGGTATGAGGATTTTATAAAATTTTGCTTTGGAAAATATATCGGCATTTGTGGACGGTCCCAAAGAGGAAAAGAACGGAAAAAAAATCAACTTGCGTACTCACTTTGTGCCTGATGGCCATGTATTGCATGTGCAAAAAAAATGTATCGAACGTGGTCTTGAACAGGAGGTCCACCGGTTGAAGCCTGTGTGGGATTCATCACCCGCTTTTATTGGTGCAAAACCAGCCATTAATTCGAACACACCGCTCACTTAAGCTGTGTTCACAGCTGGCGCGTGGACGCGGTACACTTGCGGTTCATGTGTGCCCAAACGCACGCTCAAGCTTTCACAAGAAACAGCAATCCGAGTCGTATTTAGCACGTGTGACACCTTCGAGTACTAGTTTTTTGACCCCAATGTACACTGGTACGCGCTGAAAATTCCAACATGTTGGAATTTCCATTTCGGCGCGTTTCCGTACGCTTGGCGCCCCAAAAGCCAGCAAAAATACGCACAAACGCGTGGTTTCACACGTACACGCGCCAGTTGTGAACACAGCTTTAGAAGTTTCTTCCTGGACAGATTTCTATCAATACGATTCCCACATAACAAAGTCCGACAATTCGAACCTCGAACTGGGCATGTCCGGTTAATTAGAAGTCCCACATAATTCATGTTCTGGGATTTGTGTTGAAAATTCGCAGTTGGCAAAGCGTAATTCGAAGTTTGCTGTACATTATGCAAGTGAGTTCAGTGTGCATGAGCGGGCTGTGCCGGCCAGTTCAGCTGTCCCCCGTGAATTCCGCGATTACGCGGATTGCAGAATTTCCGCAGAATCCAGTAGTGTTCGCAGAATTCAGAAAATCCCGCGGAATATTGCAGAAAAGAGAGAAAACTGCTTTTTCCGGAGACTTTCGATGTATTTTCATAGCCTAACCAACCTGCTTGTGTGACTTTCAAAATCAACTTGCAGTATATTTTGGAGCTTTCAATTTTTTTGACCAGGATTTCGCATAATTTTGGTTCAGAATTGATAGGGACAACACACTTCGGTGGGGTTGCGGAAATTAGATCTGTTTTTACGCTCATTTTCCTTGCAGAATTGCCGCAGAATATAGAAAGATTTGCAGAATTAGCGCAGAATTTACTGTTTTTTGCCGCAGAATTCTGCACGGAATTTCTAATATTCTGCCGCGGAATTCACGGGGGACAGGTTCAGTGTCCGTGAAATCCGTGTCCAAGGTGCATAGCGCAACTCTGCGTGACAATGAAAGCATTTTGACAAACATTCTTGTAGGTAGATGTTTGGATAATTAGAATGTGCGGATAATAAGTTTTCCCTGGCATTTTGAGGTTCGAATTATCAGGATTCTACCCGTCTCCTCGCCCATCCCGCATTTGCAGGCCACCCGCACAATTTTCTCCATTTCTTCATACACGGCATTGACTATGAGGGCGTGCATGGTGATGTATACGAACATCCGAGAAAGAAGTTGCACGCAAATGCATACCCGGCTTTGTACGTGGTATGGTTCGAGCTCGTACCCACAGTATCCCCACCACCACTACCATCTTCGACGCCGCAATTCATAAAGCCTTGGAATATTGAAGAAAGTGGGGTCTCAACCTTACCCCAACCAATCATACAGGTACAGAACAGCATTGAACAGAGGCATTACCCTGAACGAATTAAATTCACAGAATCGTCCTAATAAAAATCGAAAGGTGGTGTAATAATCCTAAAGGTTGATTTACATTCACATGTCGACTAACCTGGATTCCTTGGACCACAGATTTAGATCACAATAATTTCTACACTCTAAAAGTTAGTCGCCTCGAGTGAACTTAGGAAGCTCCCAGGAGAGACCAAGAAGAGACTTCTAAAGGTGAAAACAAGAGTTCAATACTCCTGGTGAAAAGCCCAGTTGAAAAATCAAAGACCACAGTCTAGTCAACGTTTGTTTGTCGATTTGTCAGTGTTTTTACACGGTATTAATATTTACGAGGTACGTGATCGTACGATCGTGAAGATCTACTACATTTGTTTCAGCATCTGACATGATCAGGCGCTAGGCGCCGATCGGGCGCATGCATGCCGCATTCTTGCATTACACTCTCGATTATAGCAATAAAAACTGCTTTATGACAGTTTTCTAAAAAAAGTTATTGTGTTCTAGTCCATGAACCCCGTCTAAAAAGTAAGAAATTAACGAAATGTGATAGCCGAAAATTACAATTTCACACAAAACCTCACAATAATCACAACAGTTGAAATGCTGCTTTCAACACTGTACTGCACCAACAATTGGCAACGTGCATGTCATGTATGCATAGGAAAGAGGATCACGAGGGGAAAAGGTCTTCTACGAGTACATGTAGCTTTTCATTCTGTGGGTGATTATTGTGAGGTTTTGTGTGAAATTGTAATTTTCGGCTATCACATTTCGTTAATTTCTTACTTTTTAGACGGGGTTCATGGACTAGAACACAATAACTTTTTTTAGAAAACTGTCATAAAGCAGTTTTTATTGCTATAATTTCTTTTGTTTTTTCTGTGGACAATCAATGGAATGCCCTATATCAATAATGATGGCCTTCACATCATATCAATACCGTATTTACGCATTGAGGTGCAAGTCTTTTCTTGCAGAAAATGGCACTAGGCTAGCATGTTCTTCTGCGGGGAAACATGTGAGTAGTGATGGACCGTGGTGATACTTTTTTTATACGGAGGTCGTTCTGTGCATGTTGCTGTAGCAGAATTTCATGACTCTGTCATAAATTTGTCTTGCCTTTCAGATATTTCAGATTTCCCCAACCTCGATCAGATTTATTTGAGAAATGTAACCAGGTGCGTGTCGCAGATGTTTTTGTTGATTCTGTGTTTATAATGGTTTATAATCATGGGTTATCGTGATAAAGTCATCCTGAATCATATTGCACTGAAATCGTAATCCTGTTGATGTCGATACAACTTTTGGAAGTAGTTCAATGACTTCAAACTGTTAGTCCACGATTTTCTAAAACAACACAGCAAAGGAGGAACAATAAACATGTATTAAAATGTAAACAAAATATTTAATACATTGTTGAGTCCGACACCTCGTTCCAACAACTACACTGATCCTGAGGATAAAAGGGGCAAGGCTATGCTTGGAGGTACTGAGAGATAAACAAGGCACTCCATAAATAATAAAATCTTACACATATTTTGGTGAGCATGAATGATATCCAGTCGAACCTCTTAAGGACGAACAACAAGGGACCGATGGTATTTATTCTGTGAGTTTGTCTTAACCTATTTTATATATACATGTATGACCAGCGAATACAATTATTTCTCCAATAGACATACGAATAGATTTCTTCTACAGCGAAAGATTCTAAGCCACACCAACTCATTGACGTGACTAGTCTCGTATGAAACAAATGAGTCACTAGAGAGGTTCTGCAAAACGAAAATGCGTACAAACTTTCGTTCTACGTCATGAAGTGCGAAACTTCGCACGAACGTTGGACGCGAAACTTGCAGGGAACACGAAATGAACTGTCGTAGGAAATTTCGTGAGATCGGGTCATGGCGTACGTGCACACTTGGCCCGCGCAAACTACGAAAATGTGCAGAACGCAAAGTTCGTGCAAAAATTTGTACACACTTTCGCAAGGACTGTCGCGAAACTTCGTTCGAATTTTCGTTTTGCAGAACCTCTCTACTGAACGTTTCTTTAGCAACATGACGGCAACTGAAACAGCAATAGAGAAAGTACGATACATGTACAGCACATTCTTGCAGGTACTACAAACAGATTGCAGATCGTAATTCTTGCTTTGGCGGCACGAAACTTTATTTGGGGCAGTGCAATCTCGGCGGTACTCACAAATAATAAATCAAACAGCCTCAGACTCGATTAAACAAATCCAATCACACAAGTACGAGATCTTCACGAGACGAGACTGCACCCATTGGCTTGTTTCGTATGAAGCAAACAAGTTTACTGAACCTCTCCACAATGGAGATTTTCCCTGATACCGTATGCGAATTTATTTTGCAAACTCGGTCAATGGGTCCTTGAATCTTTCCCTCCACATTGGGAACTGCCAACGATAGTATGCCACTGACCATTGCCTTTAATAAAAATACTTGTAACGTACCAATGTACAATGAATATGAGTATTTTGACAACACATCTAACATGAGCCTTACCGTCAAGAAGGTGAACTTGCGTTCTTCGCACACTGTAGACAAGGGCAAAGAGATAAAAATGGATCTAAATCCGAATAAAATCAGCACACGTTTCCGTAAATGAAAGGGTGAGCATAAGCAAATGAATCGAAGGAAACAGGTCAACTCAGAGATCAGCTGTCATCGAGTATTCCGTAAAAGGAGGCCTCGGCAGCGGAAAAGCTAAATTTGGGGTGCGTTCTTAAATTCTCTAGCTTCTAGGAGAAGAAGAAAAGAGAAGTCGAAGAAACTGGGATTCTTCAAGAACGGGTCTCGAAGAATTCGGAGATATTTTGCAGATGTCAAGCAAAATGAAGCGCCAAAGGGGCCGCGATCTTGAGTGCCACGAATATAGTATGCGCTGTGCGTATGCGAAAAGGGAAATGCGTACACTCATGATCAACACGTGGCTTTTAGCCTAGTTCGCATGCGCTGATCCCAAACCGCGGGAATCTCCAAGTTTCAACCACCTCTGAAGCTTGGAGAGCTTGGAGAGCTTTGGAGAGCCTCCTAAAATTCGGAGAGGATATAAGAACAGCTCTCGAACTTTTCGGAGAGTCTCCAACTTTTCCGAGAGGATTTAAGAACGCACCCTTGGAAAGGAGATCCTGTCAGCTTTTCCATTATTTATTGCATTCCGCCCAAAATCAGCACACTTTTCGTAAATGAAAGAGTCAACACAAGCAAATGAATCAAAGGGAACTGGTCAACTCACCTGTCATTGAGTAATATTCCGCGAAAGGAGGTCTCAGCAGCGCCGAAACGAAATAAGCCAGGCCAGGAGACGAAAATATCCGAAACAGCTCATACAAGAAGCAGTTCCAAAGAAGGAAGTTCCTCGCGCATGCACAGCCGAACACGGACTGCACTGCAACACAATGTCTGCCGGCTGCCGTGCACGTGCACAGCACGCGGCTACCACCCGTTGGTAGATCTAATACCGAGCACCTTACGTAGAGACTTACGTAGCCTAAGTGAAATACCGAGCACCTTACGTAGAAACTTACGTAGCATAGCGATGTCGTTTTTCTTGCCATGTGAACACAATAATAGAAAAGCTGACAGGATCGCTTTTCTAAATCTACATAGCTCCCTGGACCCTGGCACTTGGCAGCCTGCACTAGGCTGCAGGGCTAGGGACGCAGCTAGCTGCGCGCTACGCATGCCGAGCTAGCTAGAGCTAGTGCGGAGCGCGAGCGCAGTTTACCGGTGCGAGACTAGTAGTACTAGTAGACGAGTACGAGTAGGAAGCTTCTTGTTCCCTCCAGCTATACTGTATTTGGGTGTGTTCGAATGTAGTCACTCTTTGACTTTTGGAGGAGTTTCGTTTTTCTGAAGAGGTGGTTTATTGGCGTCTTCAGAAAACGAAAGTCTCCTCGAAACTCCGCAACCTCTTCGGATAGGAGAGGTGGATTGGTTTAGAACTGAGAGCTTGGAATATTCCAGCGAAAACAGCCACTGCATGCATTACCTATGACAGTAGTACCTAGTACATAATTGTATATACATGTAGCGATCGACCGTACCTATGACAAAACTTGCACATACGGTAGGGAAGCCAATTTTCAGGTGGGAGGCACGCTTGAAAAATCTCACTGCTATGCAAAGGAACTATGGTAGTTGGGCTGATAGCAACTGACAGCAACTGTTCTATTGGGATACTTCAACTAATCTCTTCTAAGGTGATTCTCGAAAAGGTGATGAGGACAATTCGAACGCGCCCTTATAAGTTGTATTGGTTCTGCCGGTCTATTTTCTGCTCTGGATCATAAGTATAGAGGTTATGCGATAATGTCAAATCCGCCATATATAGGAGCCAGTTGGGGTGGCAAAATGCCCAAAGTGGGCACAGAAACCCCTTTTATAGAAGAATTTGGGGTGGCAATGACGTGTATCGCATAACCTCTATAGGATATTGACCAAGACGAGGTCTATATGGGAAATATAGGCCGAGTAAAAGACCGAGGTCCGCCGAGGTCTTTTACGAGGCCTATATTTCCCATATAGACCGAAGTCGAGGTCAATATCCTATTTATCACGATTCCTTTGCCATAACCCCAAAATTTGAACCTTTAGGAGCTATTGTAACCTTTTTAGTATAGCATTTGTACTATAGTGTACATAGGATGTTGCCTATTTTGGGTATTATTATTATTATTATTATTATTAAATTTTTGATAGGGCAATCCCCACAGGCCTAAGGCCTTTTGACAGGGTACCCTAAAAAATGAAGAACAGAATTACGGAAGGTATGCAAGGAAGAACTTGAGCGGACCTCCGCTGGGAGGGCATTCCAGCGGTCAGAGCCAAGGAAAGTGACAGAAAATAAACCATAGCGACGTTTGGCTGTCGGAAGAGCAAGGGAAGAGGACACTTGAGAGCGGGTGCGAGAACTAGTGCAGGTAGAATTAGAGCGGAGACAGAAACAGTTAGCAACAAAGACACTAGCCAGATCATGAAGCGCACGGTACGTTAGAACGTACAGCTTGAATTGGTACCTGACAGACAAGGGAATGATATGGTAGCGGGCAAGAACAAGGGAGACATCAGATAGGCGGGGCATGCAAAATACAATACGCAGCGCTCTATTACTAAGTCGGACAACACGGTCATGGAGGGAGGCAGAAAGGCAGTGAGCAAAGGAATTAGACCCATACTCAAGTATGGACTGAATGGAACAGATGTAGAAAGCCCTCTTAGCATCGATCGTTAAATGGTCTCGGACCTTTCTAAACATTCCTAACTTACAGCCTATTTTACGTTCTAATTGTGCAATGTGAACTCCAAAGGAGAGATGTTCGTCAAGAACTATACCGAGGTATTTCACGTGTGCACTAGGGGTGATGGTGACATCTTCAATCTGAACGTTGACATCGGGGTCAAGAGGTTTCGACTTTGGCCTGAACACAACAAGCTGGGTTTTCGAGGAGTTCAACATAAGACCTCTCGTTGCCAAGAATTCCTTTACTTTGATGATGTCCTCTGCGAGGTCTTTGCATAAGTTCTGGACATTCTTCCCCGCCCTGTATAAAGACACATCATCTGCGTATTGACGGGCTTTGCAGTGTTTGGGCACAGCGGGGAGTTTCCTCACGGACAAGTTAAATAGAAACGGCCCTAAAACAGAGCCTTGTGGAACGCCTCTGTTGCTTGTGTATGGTTGCCCTTGTTGAGTCTTAGTGACCACGCACTGTAGTCTGTTTGTAAGGTAGCTGTGAAACCATTGCAGAGCGACTCCGCCAATACCAATCTCCTTGACGGGTACAAGACTGTAAGAACAACAGGGTTCAGCATCTGCAGCACAGTGGCTGGGTGGTATAAGGGGTTGCTTGAGGTTCATACTGTTGTGAGTTCGAATCCTGCTTGATTTCCTCCTTTGTCTTCTTTCTTTCAATTTTTCTTTTTGAAGTGGAGAGAAAAATTCTAAGTCCCTCCAAAGTCGAAAGATTACAATGCCTAAGTGGTCGATACAAGCGGTCGATATAAGCGGTCGATATTGCGGCGATATGGGTAATATAGGACCAGTCAGGATCACGAGAATTAGTGAAGGTCGATATAGAAGAGTGATAAGTATAGATTATAGACCGGTTAGGGCCTGGTCAGACTGCGGCAAAATCGAAATAATCCTAGGATTATAATCCGAATCTCCATAGTAACTTGCCGCCAGAGCGGCAAAAGCGAGAGTTGACGCTCCAAAAAAAAAGCAAGAACGGACCACGCTTTTCCGCTCCAAACAGGATTTGACGCTGATACGCCATTGACGCTGATAATCACTGATTTTTTCATCTCGATATCGAGGAGCTAATTGGCCACGGACAACAACAAAACTCATAAGGATGGTTGCAAGGATTGCACTGAAGGTGTTGGCGATCCCCAAGGTGAAGGAATTTGACGTCGTTCGTGGAGATTACCACTTGACGCTCGAAATGAAGTTTGAATTTGCACTCTCCCCTCATGTGTAGTGTGATCGCGATTCAAATTCTGGACGCTGTTCTGTTTTCGTCAGGCAACCAAAATTTGCCGCAGTCTGACCAGGCCCTTAGGAGGTCTATACAGGATATATAGACCGAGTAAAAGACCGAGGTCCCCCGAGGTCTTTTACGAGGTCTATATATCCTGTATAGACCAACTATGAGGTCTATAATCTATTTATCGTGTTCTCCACGCAATAGTTTCTCTTCATATACGACATATCCTTGTAATTCTAGTATTATACTATAGCCTATTGCATTGTACTGCATTGAAAGTCAAGATCATTGTTTAAACTGGGTTCAGCATCGGTAGCACAGTGGCTGGGTGGTAAGGAAGAGTGACTGAGATTCACAAGGTTGTGGGTTCAAATCCCATCTTGTGTATTTCTGCTTTCTTCAAAAATTTCTTTTTCTAAGTTGGAGAGAAAATTTCTAAGTCCAAGAAGTTCTAAGGAGTCAAATATAAGTAGTCAAATATATCGTGTATTTGACTAAGTAGTCAAATACGCGATATATTTGACCGCTTAGGTATCAGGGAAATTAGTGGGGTCAAATACTAAGAAGGCGATAAGGGTCAATTCTGTGTGGGTTCAAACAGGGACATGAACTACTGCCGGTAGTAGTAGGTATGGTTGGCGATATCACGAATTTCGCTACATACGAGTTAGTAGCAAGTGGAGTCAACTACTAGTATAGTGGTCTTACTCAGACAACGACCATACATAGAGTGCTGGAGTACTTGGACAGGTTATAACAATTGCAGAGCTGGGATTAGCCTCGCCACTCCACAAGTAGATTGCCTACAAAATATAATATGAATGCGAATGTGGGAGATCAGCAAACGGACTAGAAACACTACAATAAAATAAGACTTGGATACAAAACTATCGGTAGAACAGGACTGGGTAGTATGTTGATAATAATAAGATATAGCAGCGATGGAGACTAGTTGAACGGCATGTAAGAAACCAGAACAGGACAAGAAAGCAGGACAACACGGCACTGCTGCTGGTCCTAACAACTACAGGCTAGCATTACAGCAAGTCGAAAACGACACTATATAAATATATATAAGTATTTACAAGGAGAAAGACAAACTGTATGTGCAAGGAGGACACGGACACACACACACGCGCGCGCACACACACACACGTGCACACATGCACACACACACACGTGCACACACACACACTCGTATTATACAACATCACTACCATGCAGATGTCCGGGGACAGTTACTGGCCTACACAAGAATGGAGATATTTACAGAATGCATTTGATAAGACTTGCACATACCACTACACTGTAGCAATAGAAAGAAAACAGGTTTGCTCAAGGTGACCCGTAATTGTCAACAGAGCAGTCGGTACATACAACCAGCTGCTGCTGCTGTACAATTACTCAGCACAGTCCAATCCTCAATCCGGTAAACGTATATCCAACATTTCAATGTCACTTGTCTGTCTACATGGATCTTTCTTGGTTGTTGCAGCTGCCGGTGCATCGCTAGGCAGTGCAGCATGAGAACCGCTGGCCAGCACCACTACTTCACGGTCCGGGAACTCGTTTGGTGCAGACTTGCGGTACGTGATGTTGCCATACTCCTGTAGCGCTGATGAGTGTGCCAGCACAAAGCTGTAGCAGTCCATACGGAGGCCAAACCACCCTGGATAGTATCACATGCACACATCCCCACACCCACACATACATATACACACACACACACACACAAACACACACTCAGCGCACGCACGCGCGCGCACACACACACACACACACGACACAATACATGCACATGTCTGCTTAGTCGTATGCTTTCCGTACCTTGTCATGCACAGTTTTGCCAGCACGAACAGTCAAGTACTATTACTTATTAGAAATATTGATCATCACAAATTTCGCATTCAAGTTTGTGTACTGTACACTGACCATCTATAAATCACGTGTTACAATTTGAAGACACTTCTTCATCTCTTCTACACAGTCACATGAATACACGGTGTGTCCTTTCAGGAGCGTCTGGGAAAGGCTACGGTGTGTATGGATATCCCCTAAGGGTTCTGCTACTCTCACACGCACCACGTGGTGCCTACTTACACTGGTTGCTGCCTCGCTTGTACAACGCAGAGATGCACAACGCCAGCAGCGCAATGTGTAGTGGCACAAACAGTGCAGCAAAGGATGGTCCGATTTCACCATCCAACTTCCGCACCAGCAGTACCTGCAACACACAAGTGAAGCAAAGCAGACCCGCACTGTTCCGGTCAAGGCGTATCAATCCTGACAAGAAGAGTCCCCCCCCCCCCCAAGTGGGCAACTACCTGTGCAATCTCTATCCAGTGCAGTGACGGCAGAACTTCACATCACGTCGTCGTGACATGGCTCAATAGGGCTACGATGGCAGACAGTGCAAAAGGACCACAGAGAGAGAGTTGAGCCCAAAGCCAGGTTGCATACAACCTCCTTGCCAGCAGCAGTGTCCTGTTGCACTCCTTACTAGTTTGCGGACGACGTCACCCTTTTGTATGTCCATGACAGCACGCAGGCCACCGAATGGAACCAGAAGTGTTTAGAGGAAGACCTCGCAAGCTGCCAACAATGGGCGAGCAACGTGGGGGGGGGGGGGGGAGTTTTCACCAGCCAAAACAACCCAAATCCGGAATTACGATGATCATGAACTTCTAGGCACCCTGTCACCTGCAGAGCACCTTGCCCTGGAAACACCAGCCGAATCTCCTGCTCACCGCAACGCACCGCTCAACTTTGGGTCAGGGAACAACTTCTCTGGAGCCATTTTCAATTTAAATCTTACTCTAAAATAGAAAATACTACTCTCTGTTACTTTATCGTAACATGCTGTCAACTTCGAAACATCTCTGTTACTTTCTACTCGAAGCTGAAAATCCAACCATGCTGGTCATGACCAAGTTGTTTGTGACATGGGCCTTGTCTGAACTGCAACCCTACACAGTTGCGTCGGGTATGATGGTCGATCAGGCCCTCGGTCATGTGAGTGATGATGCCCGCGGTCGCAACGCCCTCGAGCATGATCACTCACATGACCTCGGGCCTGATCAGAGTGTCATGCCCGACGCAACTGTGTAGAATTATGTATTTCTGCCATCGTAGACCCCATAGACTGGAATTGCACACCCTTGGGGTCATGCACTCTTGATGCTGAACATGGCATGGACTTAGCCATCCAAGACATTTGTCAACACACGAGGCGTTGTCAAGTATACCGGTAGCTCAATTATGCACTTACTCCGGCGACAAAGACAGACAGAGACAGAAGAAGAGAGAGAGAGAGAGAGAGAGAGAGAGAGAGAGAGAGAGAGAGAGAGAGAGAGAGAGAGAGAGAGAGAGAGAGAGAGAGAGAGAGAGAGAGACAGAGACAGACACACACACACACACAAATGCACCAGAAGTATACATGTACTTGAAATTGGGCAGGCCACCGTACCGAGAAAGTCAGCAGAGGGATAAAGACCAGCATCGAGACAAATCCATGTACTGACGTTGAACAATATGCATCAGGCTCGACCACCGTAACTCTCTTCAGCACGGAAACGGAGCAGACGAGGTGGTAGATGGCAATAAGGAAGTAAACCACCAAAAATAGCCAAAAAGGAATGAAGACCGTCTGCAAAAACAGAACACAAGCAAATCCGGAAAAACACTGCTCCAATGTCTGAAGATTACACTGTGTCCAAACAACAGCAGCAGAGATCGAGACATGGGGGTGGGGGGAGAGAGAAAAAGTGTGTGTGTGTGTGTGTGTGTGTGTGTGTGTGTGTGTGTGTGTGTGTGTGTGTGTGTGTGTGTGTGTGTGTGTGTGTGTGTGTGTGTGTGTGTGTGTGTGTGTGTGTGTGTGTGTGTGTGTGTGTGTGTGTGTGTGTGTGTGAAGTCAATCGAACATCAGGCCAAGGGATTTTTTGTGTTTATCGACCTGAAGAAGGCCTATGATTCAGTGCCCAGGGGGTGTCTGTGGCAGGTCCTCGGCCGTGCGGGAGTACCAGAAAAGCTTATCAACATCATCCAGTCGTTCCACGACCCCATGTCAGCATCGGTGCAGTTCAACAACATATTATCAGACCCGTTCAGCATTGGCAATGGTCTTCGCCAGGGGTGCTCTATGGCGCCGGTCCTTTTTAATATCTTTATGTGGGCCGTGATGACCCAGTGGCAACACCGCGTCAGGAGAGTTGACGGGGTTGGCTTCGAGCTCCGCTCAGCATACAGCAGCGATTTATACCGTAAACCCCGCCGTGACGACCAACACCATTGCCTAACAGATTCCCAGTTTGCTGACGACTCTTGTTTATTCGCTACGACTCGGTCTGGAGCGGGGGCAGCATTGTGCTGTCTTCACGAGGTGGCGTCGGGATTCGGCTTGACCATCAGTGCAACGAAGACTCAGTTTGTAGTTGTTGGCCCCGGCATCACGCTTACTGACCGCGCTCCCCTCCAACTTGGTCAAGCGGAGGTGGAATGCGTACCGCATTTCAAATACCTCGGTTCTGTAGTGGACAGCGGTTGCCGTTCGTCCCGGGACATCGCCGCAAGGATTGCCCAAGCCTCCAGGGCCTGCGGTGCTCTTCGGAGGTCTGTATTCTCCAATCCACATCTGCTGATGCACACCAAGCGGTGCGTATTCAATGCTTGCGTTCTGTCCCTGCTGTTGTATGGCTCTGAGTGCTGGACGCCCCTTCAGCATGACCTGCAGAAGCTCTCAACCTTCAGCATGAGGTGCATCCGATCCATCCTCGGGGTCTCTCGAAGCCGGATGTGGGACGAACACATCACCAACGAAGAGCTGCTGGTGCGCTGGGGAGACTCCGAGACGATTAAAGACAAAATTGCACATCGGCGGTTGGAGTGGTTGGGGCATGTGGCGCGGATGCCGGACAACCGCATCCCAAAACAGGTACTGTTTGGCTCCTTCTTGCAGCGTCGCCCAGCACATGGCCCACGCCGCAGATGGAAGGACTGTGCTGTCCGAGATCTACGTGCCCGTGGCGTGGAGGCATCTTGGTATGATGTTGCATGTGAGTCTCGCGCGGAGTGGCGCAGCACCTACCAAGAGCCTGACAATGTGCCTGAGCCTCCGCCCCGAGTGGTATGTACGGTATGCGGACGGGATTTTGCACGGAAAGGAGACATGGCTCGGCATAAGTGTCTGGAGGAGCGTGCGCGGCCTGTGTCTGAGCAGCGGGGCGCCAGTCAGTGCGGGCGGTGTGGGCGGTGGCTGAGAAGCCGCGGTGGCTTGGTCCGGCATGTGTGTGCCTCAACGGTGGATGCCGCAGTGCCACCTGGAACTACCGGAGCGTCGGCACCGGCGGAGGGATGTTGTGCCGCGCATTGTGACAGGTGTGGTCGCTGCTTTCGCGGTGTCCGGGGACGGGGAAGGCATCGCTGTTCAAGGGTGGCGCATAGACCAACAGCAGAGGAGCGCTCAGCCTTCCAGCACGTGTGCATATGCGGCAAGCGGATGCGACTACCCGTGCACCTGGAGCGTCATCGAGCGTCGTGTCCTCTCTCTCTCTCTTCTCAAGTTTCCCAGTGATGGGATCACGTGACTCTTTTGCGGCAGTGACTCTACAGGACAGGACAGGTGTGTGTGTGTGTATGTGTGCATGCGTGCGTGTGTGTGCTTGGTAGGGAGAAAGAGTTAGAAAGAGAGATAAATATATCTGCACGTCCTAAACAGGCACATGCTTGCCTCTGAAGACTCTACTTCCTCTGTACAGCCTCTGTAAAGTGACACTTGTCTCACTATGATGATCATGCAGAAAATGTGCCAAGTTCTACTTCAATTGCCCGCAAAGCTAACTCTGATTCCCCCCTATAGTTACACAGCGAATCAAAAGACAGACACGGCGGTCCCATTATATCCTTCTAAGCAATGCAGCTGGCCGGGGTATCACATAACCCTTCTGCTACTCAAACCCACGCTAAAAACCAATGCAGTAGAATGCCGATTATCCGAATGTCAACTATCCGAACGATCAATTATCCGAACGATCAATTATCCGAAATGCCTGTTTGCATTGAATAGAAGGGACGAAAATGCATTTTGCTGATTTTCCCCACCAAAAGCACCATTCAAGCGGTGCACATGTATTGCAACAAGTTGGAATCAAAAGTACCACCGTAGTGTCGTTTAGAGGAGCTGGAGAGTGTCAAGTTCCTGTGGTGCTGCCGAAGAGAATGAGAACTGATGACAACATGACTATGCGTGTTTTAGATGTGAGTGTGTGGCTGTTCCCATATCCAAACATTCTCCTCATCCGAAACCCCCTGGAGACAGCCTGTGCCCCAAGGGGTGCGGATGATCAGCACTCTACTATATTTAGCTGAACAGCATGCACAGGGATTGGTCTAGCAACTTGCTACAAAGGAGATATGCCGTCCCACTTGGCACTTACATTCCATTGCCACACGATAACATTGTCCAGACGCAAAGCAATAAAAATTAGCAGCAGCGTGTTCACCAGGAAGAGAATCTCCACCTGGATATGAACACAGCACAGCACAGGTATATGTACGTATGTGCCAAAGACAGTGCTAGAAAGACAACATTTGTGTGTGTGTGTGTGTGTGTGTGTGTGTGTGTGTGTGTGTGTGTGTGTGTGTGTGTGTGTGTGTGTGCGTGTGTGCGTGTGCGTGCGTGCGTGCATGTGTGTGTGTGTGTGTGTGTGTGTGTGTGTGTGTGTGTGTGTGTGTGTAGCACTCCACTGCCACGGCCCGCTCCTGATCCTCTTTTCTGTGTCTGTGGACGCCCGTTTCGTCGACCAGGAGACCTGAAACAACATGCCAAGTTCTGCGCTCGTGTTCTCACTTGAACTTTCCGACATTTGCTATCATTGCGTACGCAATGGGCAAGATCAAGGTCAAGGTGTGTGTGTGTGTGTGTGTCCCCTCACACACTCACACAATTATTACTCTTACACTTACATACCGGTATCCAGTTATCACTACAGGTGGAATCCTGAGTGTGGGATTTGTGCTGATAATTCGAAGTTAGCAAAGTGTAATTCGAAGTTCATTGTACACTGTACTGGTCAGTTTAGTTTGCATGAGCAGGCTGTGCCGGTCAGGTCCGTATCTGTGAAATCTGTGTCTAAGGTCCATAGCACAACTCTGTGCGACCATGAGAGCATTTTGACATACATATTGTGTTGTGGGTTCGTGTTTGGATAATTAGAAGGTCCGGATAATTATTCGAAGTAGAAGTTTTTCCTGGCATTTTGAGGTTCGAATTATCAGGATTTCACCTGTACCTTCGCAACCGGCTACAGTACTATATTGGCTGACTGGGAGTGGTGCTGTTTGTACCTCCTGATTTTGCTATACCGGTATTTGTTACTCTAGGTGTAAGAACTCCCCATGTGTTCAACTATAATATTACTGTAGTAGCTATTTTGGTTATTTCTTATTGCGTGATGATTTCCACTGATGAGTGGTCACATGAAAACGTTTCGGAACCTAGTATAATATTATTTTTTACATTGTTAAAGGGGAAGTAAAGGCAAAAATTAAAATTTCACCAGTTGTAGTCTTCGGGGTGCTGAGTCGAATGGTCTTGGTCCGAGAAAGCTGAGACGCTCCCTTCCTACTTGAATCCCAATCGAACTCGCGCACTTCCACCGAAACTGGGTGACTGCGCCCTACTAGATGGGGATTTGTATGCAAAATGTCACTAAAAGCGCCATTTCGTTCTTATAAAAGCACGGATGACCGCGATTGGCCCATATGTTGTAGTCTTTTGGACGCTCAGTCGCCTGGTTTCGGTCCGAAAAGGCTGCGATGCAGCGTTCCTCCTTTATTCCCAATCGAACATGGTTGAACAAGTGGTCACGTGCTCCTGGGTGCCCAAATCACCTGGTCACCACGCCAGCAGGCGACAACTTTCACACCAAGGTTTAACTCGAGTTCAACTCGAGTGACAGGACTGCACCCAAAAAAGGTCAAACAGGCTAGTAAGTTGTACCCTGCAGGCACGGTGACCAGGTGACTGGTGTACGCAGGAGCACGTGACCCCTTGTTCAACCATGTTCGATTGGGAATAAAGGAGGAACGCTGCATCGCAGCCTTTTCGGACCAAAACCAGTCGACTCAGCGTCCAAAAGACTACAACATATGGGCCAATCGCGGTCATCCGTGCTTTTATAAGAACGAAATGGCGCTTTTAGTGATATTTTGCATACAAATCCCCATCTAGTAGGGCGCAGTCACCCAGTTTCGGTGGAAGTGCGCGAGTTCGATTGGGATTCAAGTAGGAAGGGAGCGTCTCAGCTTTCTCGGACCAAGACCATTCGACTCAGCACCCCGAAGACTACAACTGGTGAAATTTTAATTTTTGCCTTAACTTCCCCTTTAAGACTGCACAAAATAATATTATTCATCGCCATTTTAGGAATGAACTAGTTTGTTTTAAATTACTGAAGCAGTCTTTACAGCAGCTGTGCTGGTATGCACCCCTTCTGATAGAAGAATTGTACAGCAATACTGCCGTGCATGCACGAATACAGTAATGCTACAGTCCAGCAACAGCCAAGCTGATAGAACGGACGTTCCAGGAACTCACCTCAAAGTTACGCTTGGCGCGAAAAGAGAAGATACAGGAGAGCAGAGACGAGACGCACAGTAGGAACAGTGGGATGAATACGAGCCGCCATGCAATATCCAGGCCCTCCAGGCGCAGACACATCATGATCTCAAAGAGTAGAATCAATACGTGAAGTCCGGTTGAAATGAACATAGCAAGTATGTCCTTCCTTGCGTCCTCATCATACCTGAAACAAGCGTACAGGGGAAAAAACTTCAAAAAAGCAAACAACGCATTCAAGAACAACAAACAAAACAAAAGAAAATGCCCCCCAGAAACGCATATACACACTGGCACAGACTTCTTCGCACACCGAGCACTTGGTGAGTGGCGTACTTTGAAACAAGGAGCAAAGTACCTACAGTCTAACAACTTGAGTTGTGAGCTGAAACTATCAATCAAATTCCGACATACTACATGACAGCAGATAAACCCCAACGAATGAATAATACCATTGGTAAAACAAAACAAAAAAGGTGCACATGTCCATTGGGTTGTTTACAAGCTTGGACAAGCAAAGTCAAAAGCATGCGTTCCCCTATCAGATTGTGTACAGCCATTCAAAGTTGCATGTGACAATAGACCAGATTTGTTTCGCAAAAAAGAAAAGTATTACATGTACACAGAAATCGGAACGATGTGTTGCAACTCCTTGTTTCACGCTAAACAAAAATCAGGCAACACCCAATGTACGCACGTATCCGCACACAAAGTGTACGGTGGAATATCGAACGCGATGTTACCCACCGGCTCTCGGGATGCCGCCGGAACACTGCATAGCCTACGGCGGCGCCAGTGAATGCAATGGCTTTCCAGACCCATAGCGGAATAAGGACAAGCCAGTAGCTTGCGGTGATGGTGTTGTCCAGGCGTATCGAGAGAACAATGGACTGCAAGAGTAGGCAAGCATAAATCACAAATTTGCTGCACAGAAAAGAAAAAAAGAAAAACAGACAAAACTCTATTACAACAATGTGAAGTAGACCTGGAATTGCGGACACTTCTTCTACAGTTAGGGACAGTGGTATCGGGTAAATTTTCAGCCAATTTTCACACAATAGAGAAGGAGGCTGAGTAATGGATGCTGCTTTCGCCCAGATTGCAGTACTGTCTAACAAGTTTGCCCTGGCCCAGGGGGACCAGTCCAGTTAGTCAGGCCATGGCCTGACCAAACCATCGACATGTTTCACTGACAAGTTAGGTTATTAGTGGCCACCGTGTGGTGCACAATGTCTAAAGGGTTCGGATAGGGTCAGAGCAATTAAAAACCATTTCTGCCCGGCCGAACTGCCACCCAGGGTGCAACAGGCATACGTGGCTGCTGAAGTTAGAGAAAAACAAACAAAAAACTACACAACACAGCATGCAGTATGCTAGTTGAGTGTGTATCAGGGAGGATTTCAAGGATTTTCAGGACACATCACATATTTCCACCAGATTTAGGGTTTTTCCAGCATATTCTTTACTGGGAATTTATTTCAAGAATATTGATAGGTTTTTCAAGGGCTGTACGGACCCCGATGTTTACTCGTATCATGTCTGCAGCTTTGGACACTCCGTTAGTCAACTATCTGTACATGTATCAGGATTACAGTACAGCGTCGCCAACAACGGACCCTCAACCGCATCGTTGATGGCAACGCTTCCGGCTGGTTGACCGTGCTTCCTCTCAAGCAGGAAGGTTATGACATGTCGGCGGTCCAGTTCCGCGATCAGTTGGCTATTCGCCATGGCCAGGAGCCGAATGCTCTCCCGTCGCATTGCAATGGCTGTGGAGCTGCTTTCTCCCTACAGCATGGTCTGGATTGCATGAAGGGTGGGCTCATCAAGCGCGGGCACAACGATGTCCGCGACTTCGATGCCCGGCTGGCAGACGTTGCCTGGGGAGGTGTGGCTGTCGAGCCGGTGATGGTACCTGTGCAGGATGGCAACAACCGTCCCACACTGCACGCGGATTGGCTGGTCCGGGGAGTTTGGGAAGGAGACAGGGTGGCGTACTTTGACAACCGCATCGTGGATGCCGACGCACCCAGCTACGTCCGCTCGAACCTCTCTTGGAACGCCGTATCCAACAGTGCTGCCTCTTCCAAGAAGAGAAAGTACAATGCGGCCGCAGAGGAGCTGCGAGCATCCTTCACCCCGCTGGTCTGCTCAACTGATGGTGCACTGCACACAGAGTACCGTGCGTATCAACGGCGACTTGCTATGCGCCTTGCCTCCAGGTGGGACAAGTCCTACAGCAACGTCATGTCCTGGGTGCGGATCCACAATCGGTTTGCTGTTTTCCGGGCTGTCGACCTTTGTCTCCGGGGTTCACGTCGTCGTCTCGGTGGGCTGGCAATTTGCGATGGTGTTGGCCTTGGAGTTGGCCGCTAACATTCATGCGTATCGCACAACTTGTTGTTGTGTGTGTTTGTTTTCTTTCCTTTTTCAACCATTTCAGCTGTGATTTGCCCTGATCATGCCTCATGCGTGTTTCACAGCATAGTACGTTTCCGCTCATTTTCTTCTTCAACACACGCTAGCTGGATTACTTTGTTCTTGCCCGTACAAGAGGCTGTATCCTGATTACAGTACAGTACATCCAGTCTGTAAGTTTGTATCCCTGGTGATCGTTTGTAGAGCTGAAACGAATGCTCAATGAAGCGAACGAATATTCTCTTTCCGAATACGTGTGAAACGAAGAATATCCCGAATATTCTAAACCATACAATATCCATGGATACCTAGTTGTATCCATGGTAACCATAGACCATCAACTGGTGTATACCCCAATTACAGGAGGGACATTTGAGAAAGACAATGTTATCATTTGTCTTGCTGATGACAACACATGGAAGGTGGCAATCTCACCCACTTTCTGCACCAAATAAACCTGTTAGATATCAAAAAGGCGAGTTTCTGTACATTTACGAACATTCTTATTCTACTCTAACGAAGAATATTCTTTTTCCGATCTGCAAATTTCGAATATTCGAATAATTCGAATATTCCTTTCAGCCCTAATCGTTTGGCGTGGAGAGCACTATGAAAGTGGTGCTTTTCAGGCACAATCTTCCTCAGCCTACTCAAGCTCAACTGATGAGGGGCGAATTGAGGTGAGGTGTGTGTGTGTGTGTGTGTGTGTGTGTTTGTTTGTTTCTAGCGTCGGGCATACCTGGCGTTATCCCGTACATGTCCCGTACCGTACCATCAAAGACAGCTGGCCACCATATTAAAATAGGGCCTTCAACTGCAGCATCACGTGAAGCAAGTTACTTGGAAGAATGTGTGTGTGTGTACGTGTGTGTACGTGTGTATGCGAAGTGTATCGATGTAATGCACGCAGGGCAATAGTGTGGGTTCGAATCCCAAGTTATGTTTTGGAAAATAGGGAAAATGAAAAAATTATATAATAACTAGCTTGGTAGAATGTATCTGTCTGGACTCTGGGAGTTAGAGTTTTGAGCTAAAGTTTCTTTCTTTTTTTAAATACGACTATCGGGCACATGTTTTTGTATTGCAAACACGTTTCTATCAGTTCGAACAACACACATGACGACCTAGGTTAAAAATAAAAAAACATAGGGAGGGCTCCTGGCCAGGTGGGCTTTCAAGCCCTCTAGTTTCAAATTCAATGTTGAGAATTTTTAGCACATACTAGTAATATTCAGTCAGGTACCTTGGGTTGCAGTCTTGGAAAACCTGGCGGACGTCAAAGCGACCCTGGCTATCCATACGGAACACCGTTCACTAGGAGCATTCTAACTAAACAATAAGCTTTTCACTACAAAAACACCTCGATATTATGTATCGAAATAGCTGACTTTTCAAATAGTTTTCAATGAAATAATGAGCTGGACATGGATGGATGTCGAAGACTGCCATGCTGTACTGAACGTCTGTACTGAGTATCTACCATATGGCCATACCGTATGCACTGGTTTTTGATCGATCGATATCGCGATCAAATCATGCGTGTTGTATGATATGGCCCATGCATGGGACATACGGTGGTACGGGACGTACAATACAGACTCAGTACGCATTCGTCGTGCATGTGCTGTGTGATGCATGTGTGATGTGGCTTCTGTGCATCCGGAAGCTGGGCAAGCGTGTCTTTTGTAAACATGGTAAATGTCGTTCAAAGAATCAAACTTTCGAGTTGAAAATAAATCTACCCATCAGCAAAATCAGCAGTGCAATTGAGGAAGATTATCCTTGATCAGTTCTTGAATTCTTTGTTCACCTGAAGTTAGCTAGAAACAACTATTGTACCTAAGCAGGATGGAGGTTGGAGATAACAGACGACGATTAATCTTCTCCTTGATGCGCCTTTTGGAGGATGATTGTAACAAGTGTACAAGTGATGTCAGGGAGAGTCTAGAAGGTACTGATCAGCGATCACTGATACTGCTCTTCTGTTGACAACCTTCCATTGAAAGCTAACGGCTTTGTTTTCATGTGCACTGTTCTGTTCAGTGGCAATGCAGTGTATTGGAGAAGTGTACGGAGTGCAGTCACAAGACCAGCACCAAGCCAGCAGACTGGGAGTGCAATTTGACCTGCAGGTTCGTTCAGTCATGTCGAAGCACACACACGCACGCACACACACGCACACACACACACACACACACACACACACACACACACACACACACACACACACACCACACCACACACCACACATGCACACACATATACACCCACCCACCACACACACGCACACACGCACACACATACACACACACACACACACACACACACACACACACACACACACACACACACACACACACACACATATACACACACGTGCACACACACACACACACACACACACACTATTTACGACGTTTTGTGTTTGCTGCAGCTTCCGTTTCAGACTATGACAAAGCAATAGCGTACTATGCTGGAATGTAATGCACTGGATATGCTATAGTTGCGCCCAGGACATGTTTTTATTTTGTTTTCATTACTTAGCTGCTGTGCCGCATACAACAGTGCTGTACGCATAATGCATCGTATAATTATAATTACTTAGCTATACTGTGGCATATTAAAGTGTGTGTTGGTGCTGCCTACACTTGAGATCACCCTTTTCAAACAACAAACAAATTGATTTCCCCAGCACCATTGTCAATTTATCATACATGCAAACACTCATCGCATGGATGTCAATGCAGAGAGTGGGGGCGCCTACTACCGTAAAGTCGCGGATATAAGCCGCTTTCTGCATCAGGCTTGTATGCCAACCATGCTTATATGCACCACTGATATTTTTGCCGGGCTTGTATGCACATAGATCTACCATTGACTACGGGTATGGCGGCAGTTTTACTATGCACCGTAGTTCTACATAGCGCATACACTCTTGACCTACCCGATCCGCGCTTGCATAGAAGCCAGGCTTCTACGCGCGACAGGCTTATATGCATTTGACCCGTTTGATTTTCAGGCTTCTATCTGCGATGTGCTTGTATGCAAACCCGGCTTTATCCGCGACTTTACGGTAGTTATAAAAGACAGTGGAATGCTATAATGTTGCCTTTGCTTTCGCTATCAATAACACTGTGAATGGTACCATTCGGCTGTTGAATAATACAACAAACTAACTCTCCTCCTCCATTCACTCTAAAGCCGACCATTGCTACCCTAGGTAGCCGTTACTGACACCAGTAATTTCAAACAACGAAGGGGTCACGGGTAAAAAATTCCTTCTGACAGCTGTTTCGCCTATCAAAGGCTCGTCGTAGAAGGTGATACTGATATTGTTGTGTTTTGCTTTCACTGTGTGCAGACTGTTTTCGACAAGGCGGCAGAGAAAGAAGTAAGTGTGTCTTCTGTAACCAATGGTATCGGCTGTTCTGCATCAGATCCGGTCTTCCGGCCACAACTGCGTTCTCTTTTCTAGCACTGCAACCAGCTGTTTCTTTCTGTAGCTCCCGCCATCCTAAAGTGTGGCCATACCGGTGCGATTGTTATTGCTTCGCAAGTATGCTTACATCTGATTTTAGACACCCCTGCGTGACGAGCGTTCGCACCTATGCATTGCTGCGCGTGCGTGCGTCTGTGTAAAACTGATGTCTCTGCTGACATAGTCTGTGTTGCCACACCTGCCGACATGTCAGTAGCCTGCCGACAACAGCCATGAAAGTGTTCAAGTTTGACCTTTGCATGGTTTAGGAGTCATGATCCAGATTTTTGACTTTTACTGCGCATCACGAGTGTTTCCATAGCTCTCTCCTGAGGCGCTAAGCGAAATCATCATCCGTCTCGGGGAAAACCGGCAAACTCAGCCTGAGTGTCACGCAAAACCGTGAAATTGTTTTCTTATCAGTGCCGCATGTGTGTGTATCGAGGTCGCTATTTTTTGGGGAGGGGCGGGGTCCGGGGGCAAAGCCCCCGGATGATGCATTTTATTTTTTCATGCTACAGTCGTCCCTCTCTAATCCGGCACTTTATAATCCAGCACCCTCGATAAACCAGCACGATTTTCAGTAGCCAAAATGTCCTCTTCATGCACATTGCAGCAGTAAATCAGATTTGTTAATCCAGCACCCTCCCTAATCCAGCAGATTTTCGTGGCACAAACGGTGCCGGATTATAGAGGGACCACTGTACTGATATTTGGCTAGAATGATGTGGCAACACTGCATAGTGAAGGCAGAAGAGTGCATTGTTTTTGTTTCCTGTAATATGCTTAGAATGTGTAATGTCACATGTGCTTGTTGCACCATCACGTTGTTTTCTATACGTATGTGTGTTTGCTGATCATCTTGTTGCTGTTTTCTTTCCCACAGTGTACGCTGACAGAGGAACAGAAAGCAGAAGCACAGCTTCTCAAGGAAAAAGGTAATGCTGGTATGCTGATGCATGTGTTGGTGTGCCCCCTCCCCCCCCCCCCCCCACATACATGAACACATGAACACATGAACACAATACACATAGAACACAATGAGCAGCATACCTGCCCAACCCTGTGTTTCCCTTGCTGAGGCAACGTGGAGAGTTGAGATGCTATCCGATATCAGTCATTCTCAGCACAACATTGACAAGCTGTTTTTGCGGCTAGCTCTGTCACTTACCCGTTGCTAGCAGTAAGCCGTGTGGACAGGGATGCGTGATGTGCTACTTCAACCAGAGTGTGATTTGCTGTTGCTTCTGCTATGACCTAATCTTCAGGCAATGACCTCTTGCGCAAAGGAGAGTTTCAGCAGGCCGTCGATATGTATAGTAAAGCGATTGCCGTCGACAGGAACAATGCTATTTATTTCTCAAACAGGTGCGTGATCTTGGGTGTTCTCGTGCCTTCGGTGTATCCGTAGAATTGTCTCATTGCGCTGTTGCTGTGTACTTCGAATCATTACTTGTACTGGCGAGTGGCTAGTGTCATTTCGGATTGCTCACCATGGTCAGGTGTTATGGTTCTGCTCCATCTCCAGAGCTGCAGCGTACGCTAAACTACAGCAGCATGACCGCGTGGTTGAAGACTGCCAGGAGGCGATTAGAATAGACCCGGCATACAGCAAAGCACATTCTCGACTCGGGTAAGTAATAGACAAGTGTGCAGGCGAGTATGACTGTGTGTGTGCGTGTGTGTGTGCGTGTGTGCGCGTGTGTGTGCGCGCGTGTGTGTGTGCGTGTGTGTGTGTGTGTGCTGCAAGCAGCAAGGTACTTGCATTGCGTCGCGGAAACGGTGTGATAGCCAGAGCTACAATGGCGTGCGAACAGAGCTTCGGCGAATGCGTCCACCCCTGCTTGCATGCATGTATGCTATCTGTTTGAATAGATGTACCGTAATGTCTTGTATAAAAGCCGCACTGGAATAGAAGCCGCCCTCGAATAGAAGCCGCAATTTTGGGCCCATCAAATTACACATAAGCCTGGTTTTAGTGTTGACATACGTAGAAATACCTGTCTTGTATAGAAGCCTGTCTCATATAGAAGCCTGCAAAATTTCACCAAGAAAGTCATAAAAGCCGCGGCTTTTATACAAGACTTTACGGTATGCGTGGCAGCATCATGCAGGGATTCAGCTGCACATACACTAGTGCTAGTACCTTACTTTACTGGGAACTGCACATTCCTGTGGGCCTGTGGTTCGTAGGACTTGCTATGAATCCAGTTCTACTCTTCTTTTTTTCTGTAGCAATGTGCAGTATTGAGGACCATGTATTGTATTCTATTAACTGTTCCTATAGAAGTATGTATCCTTGTTGTGTGTATGTGCCCGTACCTTGTTCCTTCTTACAGAAATGCACTCAACATGCTGGGACGCAAAGCTGAAGCCGTAGAGTCTTTCAAGAAGGTGAGTTATGGTGTTTGATATCCTGGACTTCTACTGTGTTTGCTGTATTGTGTGTGTGCATCCGCAAACTGGTGCCTGACGTGCCCTTCTGCACTCCCGGTCCGTGACTGGCTTTTGAGAAGTCGTTTTGTCTGAGCCACAGTGTATCCTTGCATTTGTTTATGTGTGTGTGCATGTCGTGTGTGTGTGTATGTGTGTGCATGCGCGCATGTGTGTGTGTGTGTGTGTGTGTGTGTGTGTGTGTGTTTAGGCAGTGGAATTGGACCCTTCCAACCAGGCCTACAAAGACACTTTGGACACCGTTAATGCAGAGATGCAGTCACAGCAGGTTGGTGGAATGCGACGTGCATGTTTAATCCTATCGTGTGTTGCCTGCAAGCCGGGGAATCGCAATCAGCGGAGTGTTTCCAATGCAATTCTCCTCAAAGCCAGGCTAGGCATTCTATAGGGTGGAAGTTTGCCAATTGTGGTGCTGATTCCTGCTGTGTCACTCTGTCAAAACGGTATTGTTAACTTCGATTGTTATTTTGGCGACAACTGAAACCACATGAAAACCGAGTCCAAAAAGAAAACAAAAACAGCTCTTGTTCCACTTGCCGGTGATGTCTCATGTGTATGCTGGTATGCTGTGCTGACTTCTTGTTTTCTGTTGTGTCCTGTACCTTTTAGAGTGCAGCACCAGCTGGTGCAGGTAAGAACTGGATGCTCTGATGGTTTCTTAAACTTCTTGTGAATTCTGTTCTCGCAACAGCTGAAACTTCCTGGTGAACTGTCGTGGCATGCTTGCAAGTTGCGAGATGCAACCTCGCGAAGAAATTTGAACTTGGCCGTGCACCTGGTGTGTGTGTGTGTGTGTGTGTGTGTGTGTGTGTGTGTGTGTGTGTGTGTGTGTATTTGTGTATTTGTTTGTGTGTGTAAGTATGCGGTCACTGAGGTGTGGTCGACACTGAGCTAATTGTGACCAAAAGCAGAAACGAATGGGTTAAATTATCTGCATGCATTGTGTTCTGCTATCTGTTTTTTTGATGTGTAGGTGGAATGCCTGCTGGCATGCCAGATTTGAATGGAGTTGACTTTAGTGCCATGCTGAACAACCCCGGTTTTATGAGTATGGTAAGGGCGGCACTGACTGACTGGACATGGGGTTTTACTGCCAGTGGATTTAACAGCAACAATGTCTCAACAAGCTTTGTGCTGACTGGGAGTGCTCTCCTGGCAGTATTTCAATGGATTGAGTTGTGCAATGCAGATTTTAGGAACTGCAAGTAGCATCTTAGCAAAGCTTTTATAATTTACCGCAGACCTCAGAATGGTTTGTTGCAACTTGGCGTTTCATCATCAGGCAACCCTCTTATCATTCTCTGTTGAAAATTGCTGAGCACATTGGTTGCTTTGCAGGAACATTTTCTCTGTAGTGTTGTCTGAGTTCTCAATCGTCACTCGGTGCATCCGTAAACTGTGGTTGTCCTTGTACACTCGGTAGCTCTGACCTGCTTTCGTTTCTTTTGTGTGGCGTGTGTGTGTGTGTGCGCGTGTGTGTGCATGTGTGTGTGTGTGCATGTGTCTGTGTGTGTCTGTGCCTGTATGTATTTCACTTCCAAAGGCGGCCAATCTTGTAAACACACCTGGATTCGCCAACATGGCATCGTCTATGATGGGTGCTGGTGCTGGTGCTGCTACTGGTGCTGCTGGCGGCGGTGGTGCTGTTCCCGGACAGTCTGGCGGTGGCTTTATGCAGACGTAAGTGACTGCTTGCTTGGCGACGCGTTGATGACCAATCAGATTTGCAATGCCAATGCATGTAGCAGAGCCCGAACTACATGTATGTGCGCCTCAGCTGATCATTGTGTGCAGTGTTTTATTATGGTTTGGATGCATTCTGATCAGCACAATTTCATATGCTACTGTGTTGTGTAGTGCCCAGAGAATAGCGGAGCAGATGCAGGAGTCGAATCCGGAGCTGATGGAGCAAGTACGCCAGCAGATGTCTGGTCAAGGCGGCGGTGCGCCTGGTGCACCTGGCCCTGGTGAGTCACGCTGAGAAATTTGATCTTTGTGCACGAATTCGAAGCGTTTGTTTAGCGCTGGACACTCTTTGTTAGACAACAGCAATCCCACAGCATCGTAGCACTGTGCTGTGCTTGCACTACTTGTACCTGTGTGAATGTGGTGTGTGTATACATGTGGGGGTGTCTGTGTGTGTATACATGTGTGTGTGTGTGTGCGCGCACGCGTGTGTGTGCGTGTCCGTGTGTGTGTGTGTGTGCCTGCACAAGTTGCTATGTCTAACATAGCTGTTCGCTATCATCACTTCCGCAATGGGCATGTCTGAGGTCTGAGGTGTGCGCCTGTGAGCGTGAATCATCCTGATTCACCGCTGAATAAACATTGGTCTACACCGCTGTAAAACACATGCGTGGCATAGCACACCCTTCAGAACTACTAGTACTAGTATATGTAGTAGGCGGGATAGCTAATATGGTTCACACTATTATTATACTTCACCTTGACCATGTTCATGACCAGGACATGGTCAGTTGTACAACCTGGACCAGCCACTTTGGTCCGGCTGCTTCACCCCTGCCACATCCCCAGAACACTTGTATGTCATCTCATCTGGCTAACTGATGGCAGTACAATGAGTCATGTAGAAAGCTGACACTGGTATCTTCTGTTTTGCTTGTTACAGGTTCTCAGTGAGGAGATATCACCACTGTCACCGGCTTCCACGCCTGTGTTTCCAACCAGGGTGAAGCGAGTGTGCTGTGTTCGTGGCAGACTGTCGTTGAGAGGAGGATGCATTGCCTGCACTCTCACCTACTAGTCGGGCAGTTGAGAACACGTGTTGTGCACCGGGTGTGCGCCTATGACCAGTACACCAAATGGCTGTTCCCGTCGTTCTCCCCACCTAGCTGCTTGCACACAGACATTGCCGACACCAGTGTCTTCTACTGCTGCTGCTGCTGCCCCGGGTAGGGTACCATCAAGAGACGTGAGAATATGTTCTGGGGAAAGTTGGACGACGGCATCACTCCCGATTGCTTTATTGCTTCTTCTGGTACCGCAGCTGTTTTTGTGCTGTGCACATAATTTTTTTCTCAAAAGCTGAATCAACTGTTGTTCAAATTATCGCTGCTTCATGAAATCGTCAGCCTTTGTTCTGAACACACTATGTACATACCGAGTATTTGTATTCAGTGTCCGACCATATGTACATGACGCACAATTATGCCCCTGGGTATCTTTCTTTTCCTGCCTCTGCGGCATAACGTTTATTATGCCATTTGATGTTTTTGTTTTTTTTGTTTTTAAATCTTTACCAGTATGTACATGAGAGATAAGCCAATGTGTCGAAGCACCAATTTGGTCCAGGAAATGTGTATGGATGACCATGCATCACTGTTCAGATCGTGTGTGCGGTCAATTCTGCCCATCCAGGAATGCATGCCAACTGCATGCTCTGTCACTGTGGGGTTAGCATCGTATTGGTGGTTCTTTGCAGTACAATTCTTGAATATCGCAGTAGGCTGGTGCATGGGAAGGTGTGAAGTATCCACTAACCACATACTATAATAATAATGCCACTGCCCTTTCGCCAAGAGTACATAACCCCCCTGGGGGTTATGTACTCTTGCCTTCGCTTAGCTCGACTACAAAATCCAGTAGTAACCAATGGCAACGGATGAGGATACACACAGATACTTCGAAGTAGCAGCAAGAGCACATACCCCCCCCCCCCCCCCCCCCCGTTCATGTACTCTTGATAGCAGCAATGCAACGTCGACACACAGTGCACCGGAGTTGCACATTCAAGAGAAAGCGCCAGTATCAACAGGAGTATGCAAGCCGTTCATGTATGCACGGGGCTGCGTGCAGAGTATGGAAAAGAGAAGAAGCGATGTCTCAGTTCATTGTCCTAGTGACTCTTGTGCAGTGATACCCCAAGGTGCATGTGATCCACACAGTCACACATGAGCGCATGTCTTTGAAGAAAAGCAACAAGTAACTCTAGCTGCAGCGCATTCACTGCTGCTTCTCCCAGGATAAATAATCGTTCCAAACGTAAACATGATAAAGAGAACACCTTTAACTTGCACTAAGAGGCGACAGCAGAGCGTGACAGAGTCACGAAGAGTATGTAAAAATATGCCAGAAAGAAAGT